AATCATTGGATCATCTGGTATAAGACAAAGATCTTCTAATGGACCAATTGACTCAGTCATAACAGCTGGTGGTAAATCTTTCCACATTGAATATAAATCACCATTGATAGGACAGAATGATTTATCATAATTCACTATTTTGTTATCGATTGTTGATTTTGGTGTAGATACAGTAGAATTTGATGGATCAGATGGTGGGTTTGGTTGAGTAAATTTTAAATAACTACCAAGGGTAAAACGATTAGCATTATTACTACTATTATGTTCAGTGGTACTATTAGTGTTATTAGTCAATTCTAATATTTTATCAGAATCCAATGATGATGTTCTAAGCATCAATTCATGATTATCGGTTTTCGATTGAAGACGTTGTGATGTCAGTAGACTTTCATATTGATATTCCAATTGTAAATAACCTTGTTTACGTTCAGCTAGTTGAGTTTTAAATTCCATTTCACGACTACGCCACATAACACCATCGGCTTTACGCTAAAATTTTCAAACGAAATATTATTGAAGAAAAAAAATAGTTAATTGTGACATTGTCGTGAAACAATAAGACAACAAATCAAGCATAGAAATTTGTAATTACAAAGTGTACTTTCCACAATGTTATTGTTTGAAGGTATTAGACTGTATAATCAGTGAGTCAATATTTTAGAACCCTACTAGATCGCCACTGCATTACATTTAATTAAATATGAATTTAAACAGGATCAATACAGAGGACTTAACATGGATTGTTAGTACAGGTTGTTCGATTTCGAGATGGGAATGTAGAAAAATCGAATTGGAATTCAATAGTTTAAAAGAAATTGTGCTCATGAGAAGACCCAGAGATCTTTTGGTAAATAGGATGGACTGTTTAATGGACTTAAAATATAACAAAGCTACTGTCCAGTACTCCGACGTTTTCACTGATTTCAGAGTTGATGTTAATCCAAAAAAAGTATATTGGAGGGGTTACATTTGTAAGAAAACTAGTCGATCTTGTGATTCAGTGAAGAAAAGTGCCAATAATAATAGTGATGCATATTAGTATCCTAGTTGAAATGAGAACCAGGCTTGCAGTGCAATGAATCTAAACATTTGATAAAATTAAAAAAAATAAGTAACGAATATTGATTGAGAACTGTGTAGTAGACGATTTAGTGTTTTCTATCCAGTTCTTGGTGTCGATCAAATTTTATCCATCAACTTGAATGAAGAAAATAGTCTAAGTGAATTTGTATTGCCTAGCATTATAGTTTGAGGTTAGAGGCCTATGAAAGGACTGGATCTAGATTTCGAGCTAACTAGGAATCATCAACAAAGAATACTTGGAAATTAGATACTATTGACCGTTTCGCCATCTAGTCGATAGAATTATGTTAGGAATGAAGAAAAGATAAATAAGAAATTGGTTAATACACAGTGACTATTCTATGCAAGTATTTCAGTTCTACAGCGAATTATTCGTAGCGTGAATAGTTTAGTGGCAACATCTAATATTATCGAACCATTATGACGTGGATCAAATCCTACAAAAGCATTAGTCTTCTCAAGATTGATAATTATTAGTACATGGCCTCAAGAAATTACTGAAGTTATTGACCGTCGATCTGAGTCATTCTAGTAGGTACAGCTTACCCAGTTGCGGTCCACGCTATTAATGTGACGGATAGTTGCGAACGTTAGCTGATAAACCTCAGAGTCTATTTCAATGACGTAATTGCATTCACTCTTCCCGATTATATCATGAGTTTTAGAAACATTTTATACACCTTATTCATTTTATCGAGTCGTTTTCTTTATGCCGAATCTTCACTATTACCAATTCTTTTGATACTCAAGTATTTACTTTGATAATTTTGTTCTTCATGTATAGTTGCAGTGTGACAACTTGAGCTAATGTATATATTTACCAAGTTCCATATTGGTTATAACTAACGTAAGCAGCTGAATATGTGTGCCCGGTAGGCTCTTATAGAACATGTACTAGCTACTGTATAAAGCTTAGTAATCACTTACACATAATTATTAGGTTGATAATACAAACCTAAAACAAGTTTTTAAAAAAAAACTGGGAGGACAGACAGAAACTAATGGGCAGTGAGACAGCGAAATCTATTACAAAGAAGTACATCACGGGATTGTTGTTGAACAGCAGTGATCCTAACACCAAAGTTAGTTTGGCAGGGAAGAAAAAAAGTGGACAAGGATGTGGACGAAAACAGAATAAGCAAATCTAAGAAAAGAGCAGTATACTAATACTGTGTACAATTTATCAATACATGTATATGCATGAAAAGAGAGAAGGAAACCCACACACTTTAAACAGATTTCGAAGTAAACATGTTTTCTGGTTGAGTAGTGTTTATGACGTAACAGATATAATGTACAAACTATTGATTACTATCAGCCTTTCACGGTCATTTCATTTTAATAATGGTAGGAATTATTGCATACCGGCAAGAGTTGTTGTGCTGTTGGAGAGTGGGTTCAGTTCAACTGGTCACAATAGTCATACCACAGGAATATTATGTAGGTATGTTTTTATCAATGTTACAGCACAGAATTGACAGAAAAAAGATCAACAAATATGCGTCGGAAAAAATCGGTACGTATTAATGATAACCAATCAGTAAACTCATTCACCAGGTACTTATGTATGAGATGAACATACTTTAAGTGTGAGGACTGATGATCGTACTCAATTCCCCAAACCGGAGTAGATGGATTGGCGCTCAAACTTGAGATTTAGTGGTTCTGAGATGAATTGCTATTTTTAGTATATACTAAACAATTGTTCTAACGTTTCTACAGTATTTAAAATGCTAACCTAGTCGTAAAATATGGTACTCACTTTGAGACTGAATGTCGACGTGCAGGCTTAAGATACTATTTACCAGCTTCGTACGAAAATAAAGTTGGAACGTATGATGACTTGGTATAAAGTTGAATGTTTTAAATATTTCCAGATGGTTGAAAACCGTGAGTGACATGAAATTCACTGAGACGTTATTTAGAATGTTTTGTGCTTTGAGTAAATAAACCAAGTACAAGGATATAACCTTATGAAGGTACAACAACTGGATAGCTTTTTTAAAAAAAGTAATTCAAAATACTATTTGAATATGATATACGTGAAGGTTCTTCAGAGATATCCCATAGTTTTTTAAGTTCATGTGATACTGAATGATCATACTTCAGTGCGATAAAATTTACAGTTGTGAGAAAGCTAATTCCAGAAGAAAACAGTACCCCTGCAGAAAACCTACTCACGTATATTCAGCTAAAAAAGACACGACGATAGGAGACTGAATAAAACGTTAATTCATCAACAACAGAAAATAAGGGGAAGAAACTAGACCGTGATAGAAGATGAAATATGAACAATGAAATCCCAACTTTCAGTGATCCACAAAGAACAGTAAAAATAGAAATAGACATGGAAATCTTACACCGATTTCATTAAATCAGAATTGTCACTATGCACTGCATAATACTAACAAACTAGAACGAAACAACTGTGCAACGGTACTTCCCGGTTTTACATGTTATTGAAGTTGATTTTAGTTATCAGTAACATGGAGGCTGGCACATATGGGTTAAGGTCCGAATTGAAACAACAAATCAGCACTGTGAGATGAAATTATCAAGACAAACATCAGCGGTAGAATCATTAGTTACAGAAAATATTTGAGAGAAAAAAAGAGAATGAATACGTGGAATAAAAAGCATAAGTCCTTCAAGTCAAAGAGTGAGCTATGTGGCACAATATCTTCAACCTCTGGTTATGATAATCGTACCTACTTACATGACTAATTTCAACAATCAATAAATACCACATATTAGAATAGATTTAGGTAAACAACACTGTTTTTATTGAAATCACTGTCAGAATTTACTGGTCATATATAGTTACCAAAACTTCAAAATAAGATCATATGAATATATACGGTGAGCATAAGAGAGAAACACTATAAACAACAGAATTTAAATCATCTTATGATCACTAATAACAAATCATTATTTGATACACTCAAGTTTATTTTTGATACAACAATGTAAATGGAATAAAATATTTAACTTTATAGCAGTTGCTATGATTTATTTTTTTGTTCTAATGAACAGAAGTAAATATAATAGTGTAGAAATGGTGGAGAAAACGTGTAATTCAGGTAGATATTATTGCATTCTCTGAGCTGGATGATTCAGAGTTCTGGACAAGATTACTGTCTCTTAATTCAAGTGTACATACAGAACAGAAATACTATCTGTCAACTCATAGATAGATCAAGCTTTGAATGAACACAAACTAATTGAGTTAGCTTCAGTAACTGCCATCAGTGATTGAGAACGTTGGTAGATACGAACAGATATACAGTGGTTAGCAGTGGAATCTAGGACAGACGTTTCGTTCCATTTAAGACTTGTTAGCTGGTTGTGTCTGTATCCTAGATTCGGTATTCACTACCGGATTTGGATTGAGTAACTTTCGCTTCAAATATCAACGCGTTATCCGCTTAGCTGCATATCTACCTGTGCTCAAACAAACTGATCATTTACAATCCTGAACATTAATGAGAAGATTTAAGCATTCAATAAAATGAATTGGTGAAAACGGCACAAATTCGAATGCAATGGCACAGATTCATTCAATTTTCAGTTTACACTATATCTTATGTTTCCAATTTTATCTATTCCATTTAAAGTATATTCGCTAAAGCTAATGACATACATTGTATGACAAAAATGATAAAAGTATGTATATGATTAAATTTGTTTGCTTTTTTCAACAAAAAAAAAGAATAACATCACTGTTACCTTCGCTTCTATATCAGCACATTTCTGTTCTAATTGTTTTAATTCCAGTGTTAATTCACGTTCTCTTGTTTGAAATGCTGTACGTGATTCGAGTAGTTCAGTGACACGTTTATCTAAACGATCAGCTCGACGATCAGATAATTCTTGTTGTACAGTTAAATCAGTAATCTGATAAATTATGTTTTTTTTTTGTGGGTAAAAACAGCAATAAAATGACAAATGTAAGATAGTTCATAAAAATGATGATTAGAAAGAATTTAAAAAAGTATAGATATTTAAGAATATTTATGTTCAACAAATATACCTGGACAAACTTTATAGACTAATGGGCTAATGGTGAAAGGGATTGCTTCATCAACTAATAGATTGCGGACTCGAACTTCGTCGACTAGTCTACATCAATTTCAGCAATCGAGTAGTATACCATGGAAGCATATAACTGAAAGTTCAGTATTTAAATCAGAAATTCGTATATGATTTATATTAGGTACGAGTTATACATTCAACATAAAGCTGTGATTCCATCTTCATGTATAAACAACGTTATTTAGAGCAGGAGTTTCAGTTAGTCTACAGAATTTAAACATATAGGTTGCCTGCTAACGTTTACTTCTAATGGGTTTACTGACTTATCAACTTTTCAAATACAGCACTGACAGAAAATCTAACATATAAAAATACTTAGGAAGAGAAAGATACACTGATTTTAAAGTATAAGAAAGAACTCATAGCCAGGATATTAGTAAAATTGTTGACAAGCATATTCGATCTTCCGCGGTAGGGATGATTTTTGATAGTAATTAATGAAGAAAAAACTTAAGCTAAACTAGTATCAACATGATGCTAAAATCTATAAGGAAATTGATTATTTAAATAGTTCCTGTCGGTAACACGAATAAAATTCGTATCCACTGTACCTACTTCATATCAATAGTTACATGATCAGTATTTTGCGATTAAGTCAAACATTAAACCTAACATTTTTATTGATTTCCTTAATTCATTATTGTGTTCGAAGTTAATTCACTTAAAGATTAGTCAGTAAGTCAGCTACAACGTAGGACCAGGCACATATATGAATCGGTTCAAGTTGCCATATCTCATTAACACAACAAGATGAACACCGGATTCCTAAAAGTGATTATACATATGTTAGAGCGGTTGTGTGTAACGACTAGTCACTGTAAGGCCGCTGCTGCAAAAGGCTATAGGGTATCATGGTCAATTCGTAGAGCTTTTCAGTATTTAGACGATGAAATGTTTGGATTACTATACCCGATTTATGTGCGACCACATTTAGAATACGGGATTCAAGCAGCGAGTCCTTGTTTCAAATATGAAGCAGATATGCTAGAAAGAGTCCAACGACGAGCTACCAAGATGGTACAAGGTCTAGCTGGCCTATCTTATGAAGACAGACTGAGACACCTTAACTTATTTCCGTTATCTTACCGTAGAGTACGGGGTGATCTAATATTGGCTTATCGTATACTGAACGATGACCTTGGTATTAACATGTCTTATCTTTTGCTTCCGTCTAGAACCGATCATTTGAGAGGACATTCGAACAAAGTTCAAAAACCGAGATCAAACCGTTTACGTCTGGAGTTCCGTTTCTCGCACCGAGTAGTGAATTATTGGAATTCCCTACCGGAACACGTAATATCAGCACCGTCTGTTAATATATTCAAAACGAGATTGGACCTCCACAGTATTACAAACTGCAAGGATTAATATAGGTCGACAGACCTATCCTTATTACTGAAGACTAAATATAAATGTATATAAAAGTTTATATGCACATCGTTAAAAAGGGTAATTGAAACAAAGATGGAGATCAAAAAGAGATAAAAATGCATACAATTATAGGTTAAAGATCAGCAATAACCAATCAATATCGAGGTCGTCAGGACAATAAGTCCGTCATATGAGAAGAAAATCGAACATTTCACTTCTAACTGAAGTTTATGCTGATGGTGTTGTTCAGAAGAATAATGAAAGCTTCACGACTAAACTAAGCAGCTCAAAGAACAAAAAACGATAACCACTAATACTGTTGAGCTCTTTTATTACATGAATGTATTTACAATTGATCGATCACTGAGTAGTGACCAATGTCATCTTTGCCAGGTCCTTCTTAGTGCTGATCAAGTTCTATCAACTAAGTTACCAATTTATTACACCTGCGCAGGTAGAACGTGTTATAACTTATGACCATGTGTCCTATTAATACATAACATATTTATACCGCTAATTAGATAACACTGATTTTATCGACCGGACCAATAACGCGAGCAGTCTAGAGTAATATGAATATGCATAGTTTAACTACTTCACAATTACACAATAAATATATATGTATCGTATTGGTCCATAAATAGTCTTCAAAAGTTATTATTCATAATTAACGTCAGCATACAACACCTCCTTTTTTCAGAAAATTCGGAGTTTATATTCCAATTTCAAATCTTCCAACTTTAGAAAGTAGAGTTGTGCTCTAATATCCCAAAGTATAACAGAATAGTTGGTCACTTGTGTTCATTTTTCCCTCACTCGTATGAAGAAGAATAAAAAATTATTACACATAAAATAAATTTATACCTGTTGTTTTAAACTACTGATTTGATTGATGAATCGTGTTTCCAGTAGTCGGTCAGAAAATTTCATCTTAAAATTCGTTTCATTTGAATCCAGTGAGTTTAAAGAACCAATCCAAAGTGAAGAACGTTTTGTATCATTGTTAACACCTTTACATTTTCCAATATGTGCCTTATTACAAAGCGAAAACAAGGGAGAAAAAAAACAAATATAAGGGAGGATTATGGTTAACTTAACTCTGCTTGGAGACCGTCTTGGGTAACTGCCGGTCCCAAGCTCGGATAAAGGAGGAGGGTTGGGCATGGATGGGGTTAGCGAAACCATCCCAAAGAAAACTAACTCGCTAAAAAACGCTAACCAGAAAAAATTATTCAAACAATTTAGGCTCTGCCCAGGAAAGTAGAAGGTTTTCATTTAGAAGAACTATTACGCTCATTGTGAAAGCCGAGTTTCTTCGGAAGCAACGAGACCGATGACCTTTCTGACAACCAGAGCAACCATTTATTTGGGTACATCGAATGCTCGTACGATGTGGGAGACCGGAAGAGTCGTCCAAATCGCTGCATATTTTGACATACGATATAACTGAATTCAGATCCTGGGTCATTAAATCCCATTATTCAACACATAACACAAAAGAATCAATTATTCTAAAATCAATAAATCGATTTCTACATATATTTACAAATTGCTACAGAAATGAAGAGATACAACCTAGAGGTGCTTGGAATCAGTGAAACACATTCAGCACAAGTTCGACAACAATGACTAACTTCAGGGGAGCTTCTGTTATACTTCGGCCATGTTGAAGAAAATCCCCCATATACACAACGAGTTGCATTGATGCTGTCCAAACAAGCACAAAATGCACTTATAGGATGGGAATCTCATGGACCAAGGATCATCAAAGCCACGTTTAAAACAAAGAAAGAGGGCATTTCAATGAACATCATCCAATGATATGCGCCTACCAACGACTACAATGAAGACGCTAAAGATCAATTCTACAATAGGCTGCAGTCAATTATCGAGAAGTGCTCAACAAAGGACCTGACCATTCTGATGGGAGATTTAAATGCCAAGGATGGAATGGACAACACTGGGTATGAAGACATCATGGGACGATATGGACTGGGAGAAAGGGACGAAAATGGTGAGAGATTTACAAACCTATGTGCCTTCAATAAACTGGTCATGGACAGCACCATATTCCCACATAAACGCATTCACAAAACCACATGGACCTCACAGAATCACACCACACGAAACCAATTCGACCATATCTGCATCAACAAAAAGTTCAGGAGGACGATGCAGGACGTGAGAACCAAGAGAGGAGCTGATACAGCATCAAATCATCACTTGCTGGTCGCCAAGATGAAATTGAAACCCAAGAAGTACTGGACAATGGGGCGGACAATATCACAAAAGTTCAATACGGCCTTTCTTCAAGATACTGACAAACTCAACAAATTCAAGATAGTCCTCAGCTATAGATTCCAGACCTTTCATGATCTACCCAGTGGAGAAGAAAATACTATGGAGAGCAACTGGAAAGGGATAAAAGAGCCAGTGACTTTAAAAATGCCATGGGGTTCTGGGCCACAAGGAATGGATCACTGTTGATACACTGGATGAGATTCAAGAAAGTAGGAACAAGAAGGCAGCAATCAACATCAGTCGAACAGGAGCACAAAAGACCAAGGCACAAGCTGAATACACAGAAGTAAACAAACAAGTGAAGAGGAGCATCAGAACTGACAAACGTAAATATCTGGAAGATTTAGCAATGACGGCGGAAAAGGCTGCAAGAGAAGGAAATATGAGACAACTGTTCTGGCTCTTCTATCGCAAACGCAACAACAAATACAAGAGAAGATAACCAGAGTAGTAGCCGCAGTACGTCTCAACATAAAGAAAGGAAAAGCAATATTCTCCGATACAACACAGCATGCACCAATCCAATCACAATTGATGGAGAAGATTTGGAAGATGTAAGAACCTTTACATATTTGGGCAACATCATTGATGAACACAGTGGATCCGATGCAGATGTGAAGGCACGGATCGGCAAAACAACAGCAGCATATTTACAACTGAAAAACATCTGGAACTCAAAACAACTATCTGTCAATCGACACTAAGGTCAGGATTTTCAATACAAATTCAAAACAGTTCCACTGTATGAGGCGGAAACCTGGAGAACTACGAAAGCCATCATCCAGAAGATACAAGTGTTTATTAACAGTAGTCTACGCAAAATACTTCGAATTCGTTGGCTGGACACTATTAGTAACAACCTACTGTGGAGAGGAACAAATCAGATCCCAGTAGACGAAGAAATAAGGAATAAGCGTTGGAAGTGGATAAGACATACATTAGGGATAGCACCAAACTGTGTCACAAGGCAAGCCCTCACATGTAATCCTCAAGGCTAAATAAAGGAAAAGAGGAAGACCAAAGAACACATTATGCCGAGAAATGGAGACAGACATGAGAAGAATGAACAACAATTGGATAGAACTAGAAAGGAAGGCCCAGGAAAGAGTGGGTTGGAGAATGGTGGTCGGCGACCTATGCTCCATTGGGAGTAACAGGCGTAATTAAGTAATTAATTATGGTTAACTCAAGTGTTTTTTGATTATTGATACTGCCTGAAAATTGTGGTGTATCGCGAAAGAACTAGGTTTGAAAATGTGAGGTAGTGAATCATGTAAGTCGGTAGACTAAACATATTCCGCTCGCTGAGAAACTTGAAGCTTGTATAACTCATGGCAGTTAGATACAACCAGATTACAGGAGTAATGTCCATGGGGCTAGTTAGTTACAATATCCAGGACTTGTTACGTGAGTATAAACATAGACTTCATGAAGCAACCATTCAAGATGATCTAGCTCACAGAGCTGAACGATAGCAAGAGCATATGTGGTGTATAAAAGATCCGCTAGTCATAACATAAATACGATCTAACGTAAAAATCTATATTATCAATGTTCTACAATTCCTATCGAAAAAGGTCTTTAGTAAATAGAAATGAATAAATTAATGTTCTACAATTAGATAACGAATTGCTAACTAACCTGCCAAAGTGAATTCAAATCATCAAATCTTCTTTTTAACTCTTCTACTTGATTTATTAATTCTGTTTCTCGAAGTTTTGCACCAAATAATTCATCTTTTAATACAGCAATTTGTTCAGCTGATCGAAGTGATTGATCCAATTTTGACTGATTTTGTAGTCATATATTCGTTAGGTACAAATGTGTTGTAGAATTAAGAAAAGCAAAGAAAATTATTAGGAGCATTGCTTGGACAATTATAACAGTAGAGTTTAGAAGAAAGAAACAAAAAAAACCCGACATCATAACAACAACTCGTACAATAACCAAGGCGATACACAAGAGATTCTCAACAGGAATTTAGACAGAAATGACTTGAAGCTACTTGCATTTTTAAAGTTTCATCTAACTTCATCTATCATAATTCAGTATGAGTGAAAGTGAAAACTGTTAGGGATGCAGAGGAATATACCAATAATTATCGTGTTAAGTTTAATGGTGTCCTTGGACGTTAAACGGACATTTCCATTGGTCGATATTCATTTCACCTGTCAAATATTGTACAAATGTTGTTTTCTATTTTATGGTACAATGTGGTCTGGTTGGTTGGCATATAAAGAGAGTATGTCTGAAATATAATGATTCATATTATCTCAGAGGCTGTGACTTGCGTTTTGGACTCAACTCATTCTGGAGTACCTGCTTGGACTCCGACCACGCCCTAATACGGGCACGCATCTGCTTGCGCCTCACTGGACGCAAAAAAGCCACAGTAAAAAGACCCATTAGAACCGAACTGAGTAGCGAGGAAACCAAAAGTAGGTTCCAGGAACAACTGAGGTCACGATTAGGTAGTTGTGAAGACGAGGCTGACCCAGATGTTGCTTGGAATGAAATACAAGCAGCTGTGGAAGCAGCAGTGACATCTATTAGCGACTTAAACCACAGAGTTTCAAAGAACCAGTGGATTTCTTCAAAGTCTATCACACTGATGGATTCTCGCAAACTCGTCCCATCAGGTTCTGAACATGATGAAGAGCGACAACAAATCAGATCTAGGTTAAGAAAAAGTCTGAGAAACGACCGTGAGCAGTGGTGGGCAACGAAAGCAAAAGAGATGGAAAAGGCGGCGACTATAGGGAACACAAGACAGCTTTACAGACTAATAAAAGAAACTGGAATTAATAAGTCAAGTGTAAGTGAGATTATATCGGAAAAAGACGATACACTCATCTGCTCCCAGTCCAGGCGTTTAGAACGATGAGCGGAACATTTCAGAGAATAGTTCAGCTGGCCTTTAGCTACTCTACAACTACCCTCCATTCCCAAACCAAAACGTGGCATCAGTGCTTGAAGTCACTAACTTCTAGTCTGAGCCATGTTGGTAGATGCAGAATACTTGGTTGGGGTCCGCGTGACTATCGTAACCAATGGTTGGAGACTCTTGGTGACATGGCTCAGAAGCGATCACAATGGCGTCGGTGTATACACTCTCTGTCTTCCCTTAAACGAAGAGATTAAAATCGCTTCATATCTTTCTTTCTACGAACCAATTCTTTCTTCTTGTACTATATCTCTATATGCAATCTTTCTCTTACATATTACTACCTTTGACCTAACCACTGCTATGAATCCGGTGTTCATCTTGTTGTGCTGATGCGGTATGGCAACCTGGACCGATGCACAAATGTGCCTGGTCCTACGTTGTAGCTAAATGACTGACTGACTCAACTGGCTGGGCTAGACAGGGAAGCGGGACCAATCGAGACTCTAGGTCGTTCATTACGTGTTTTACGTGTCACTGTTCATCTTGTTGTGCTAATGAAGTATGTAAACTTGAACTGATGCATATATGTGCTAGGTCCTACGTTGTAGCTGACTGACTGGATGACTAACTAAAAGATGAAAGTCTATTTTCACCTATTTATATCAGAGAATGAGGTATATAATTAAAATTAAAAGAGAAACTTTTATTGACCATGAAAGAACACGTCACTATTTTGTAACTAAGATCAAACATTAATTAATTAAAGAAATAAGAGAGTTTTACAGTTTGCTTTATTAAATTAACTGACATCATCATTAAGAGTTGATGATATACGACTATAGTTGATGAAAAGAATGTTTACATTGAAAGTAAACTTCTCATCGAAAGAGATAATCGATAAGATTGTAACCTTGAATCAAATAACATAATCTTTAAACCGTTCATGTAATATTCTATAGACATTGTAAAACTAAGAATTCAAATGTTTTCAAGAGTATAGCAGACAAAATGACACAGTAATCAAAACACTGTTTATGAGCTCAATCTTCAGTCATATTTCCCGTGTAAGTAATCACTAATGACAAATAATGTAGTAAAGATAAAAATAGAAATAACCGTATTATAAGCAGAGATGATGGTGGCTATCAGTGTAATCCAGCACTAGAGTTATATCCTATTTGAGATTCGCCAGTTGGATGAACCTGAACCTTTAATTGAATTAAACTAACTCGAAGTTAAATATAATCGAGTTTATGTCACAATCATATATCGACTATTTTACTGACAAGAATCAATAACTGTAAATACTAATTATATTTTTTTGTTACATCTCAATAAATAGGAAAATTGTATTTCTGACATTTCGCGACTTAATGTAATCAACTTAATCTGAAGAAGCGGCTTACATTAAGTTACGAAACCTCAGAAATACAATTTTCCTACTCATTGGGATAACAGAAATATTGATAAACTTTAATTAATTCTGTTTGTGCAGAATCCAGTAAATCTATTTATTTATTAAAACACATAAACATTGGTACAAGGAGGCACCAAATAGATATGCGCCACACAAGTCACTTGACTTGTGTGTGGGTAATACTGCCCGGGTCCCTAAACTGAAGCAGGTGGTTTTCTTAGGAAGTCACACCCAGAGCCTTCGACCTGAAGGTCTCATCCACAAGGCAGCGGAACATCGTGAGGAGATGCACTACCATGGTAGCCAGTGACCAACAATTGGTTCATATGCCATTTGTTCCCTCAAGATCATGGAGCACATGTGCATCATTGGTTTGGAATCACGGTTTTCCAACTCTTCTAGGTGGACCCTCCATATCCACAAACCCGGTAAAAGCTTCGAACATTCGCCTTCCATCCTCTCAATTTCGTAAACAACAGTAATGCCGCGAGAAGGCAGTGAGTAGGACTTCCCTGTCAGTGGTTGTATGCATTTGGGCATGTGAGAGCATTTCGAGAGAGAGAGAGGACCCTCCCCACTCTCAGTTGTACCACGGCATTTGGGAGAAATCCAGTAAATCTAATCGAACTATTCAAATTAAACTAAAACTAAATTGATTTAAAACTTTTGAATCTTGCGGGGAGAGAGATCATGGATGCGCATTGCTAAGGAAAGAAACAGCCATCCAATGCTTCCATATTTTTCATAGTGGTTTATTTACAATGGACTCATGAATTTACTCATTGGATAGATATTATTAAATCCTTATTTAATACATCATTATAAAAATTTTAATAAATAATTACATAGAACTTACCTCTTCTAATTCATGTAATTTACATCGTAATTCATGTAATATTTTTTTAGTATCCGCTTCATTGAAACGTGAATTCATTAAATCTGTTTGTAATTGATTCATAGTAGTTGATAATAATTCATCATTTTTCATTTCATTATAATGATTACCACCTTTTATTTGATAATCACGATTTCTTGATCTTGGTAATGTACAAAAATCATATGAATTATTTAATTGTTGTTCATGTAATAAAGAAGAAGAACAAGTATTATTATTAGTAGTAGTATTAGTATTATTAGTAGTATAGTCATTTTGAATATTATAAGTAGGTGATGAGAAACCATTAACAAGTGATTGATGTACTGTATCATTATTGGTATAATTTTGATTTGGGTTAGATATATTTGTGATTGTTGGCTTATCCATAGAGATTGTTGTATTTGTATTAGAAACAATGGTATTTATTATCTTTTCATTTGTTGGCAGTACATCATCATGATTGATTGTAGTTGATTTCTGTAAATGAATTTCGAAAAAAGAAAGATGAAGATTTGGAGGATAAAGAAAAGTGAATTGTTTGAGAGATAGAGAACCAACAAAGATAAATATATCTTTTTACAGAGATAATGATTGAAGTATAAATGTTACAGTCATTATATCAGGGAAAATATTCAAAAAAAGCTTCATTTACTGTACGAATTGTTTATTATTAATAGTTGAAAGAGATCGATAAATTATTGTGAACCTAGGAATCTTGCTGATTAACAATTATAAGAAAGTTCTATCAATAATCTCTAGAAGATTTACGTGATCTCATAAACCTAATCCCAATTAGTGAAGTTGTCACTGAATGATTTAGACAGCGGATTAAAGCTCCCTAGATTAGAAGTATTGACATCGACTGATCATTGATATTCTATGTTATGACTTTTCTAATCTTCCCTTTTATCATACAACTTCATCCACAGATCTATTAGGTGTCATTGAAAGATAGATGTTTATAAACCAGAGCTGATTAAACATAATACATAGGTTCTAATTACCAATAACTTCTTAATAACAAATATATCAAAAGTTTTATGTTATACGTATTATAGGCATATGACACTAGTTTTCTAGCTTGTTACTTAGACCTAGAAGCAAAAAATCAATAAGCTTTGAAATATTTGAAAGAACAGCGATCTTACTACCCATTTCTTGATTTGAAAGAACATGGAATTGAGGATCTTTAGAATCTATTGAAATTCAATATAGGAACATAAGGCTTCAAAAGAATGAATTTTTTTCTTCTTCTTAATAGTTTTTTAGAGGGATATTTATTAACATTCCCTAAGAGGAGGCAAGTAAAAATACACTAGGAAATTAGGAGAAAAAAAAACAAACTAATACGGAGATTATCATCATTGAACATCATAAGATCTGGCAAAAAAATATACATCGTTCTAGATTAACTCATTTAACATTCAATCACTGATAAAAGACCAAACAAAGTACAAATAATAAAGAATAGTAACACTGATAGTAAAAAAAATTCAACTGATGTTTGAAATGTACACCTATTAGGTACTGAAACTCGTTCAGAAAGTCTTGATTTCAGTACTTAGTGGGCTTATGTGTATAGAGTAGTAAGAAGTCATATAATAAAAACAAAATAACCGTCTGATGATCACTAGTTTGTTAATAACTGTTCAATGAGAATCAATCCAATAATATAAACTAAATTTCAAATTAAATGAATAAGAAGATTATATCCTGGAAATAATTATGGAATGTATTTCAGTAATTTTCAGAAGTATCCTACGAGTTTAAGCAACAACAACAAAAAAAAAACGGACATCACCCAGAAGTAATAAGTATGGAAAACAATTAAACTTGAATAAGATTTTAATATATTCGGTTTATGGCTTAGAGTAGAATCCAGATTAAACGTTTCATCACAATTGGAACTCATCAAGTGAATGTACCTACGAGTAAGGAGTTGATATTCACAATGAGACACATATTTTTTTCACTTTGAATGTCCAACACATTATCTATTAAATTGTAAACTATTACTGATACTAGTTCATTTGATTATAAAATCCATTCAATAATAAAGATCAATATGAGTATGGGTTACTTTGAACTATATAAATCTAGTGCAAACAACATTTATGATGTATAACTAATAAGACAATTATGTATTAAATTATATTATAATGCGTTGTATTTGAAAAGTATTTAGGCTTTAATAATAGAAAGAAAAAATGTTAACAATTTATTTGAAATAACTTTGTTTTCATGATTTATCATTATTATCTTTATTAAGTTGACGTATGAAATATTAATGAATGTGCCAATATCAAAATGAACAGTCATAGAATTATCTTAGATACAACATATATTTAGTTGACGATTAATTCTTTTGAGAAGTATTTATTCCCTTTCTCTAACCCACCTTACCCCCCCCCTTTGTATAACTTTGAATATTAAAATGAAATGATATAGTGATTGTCAAGATGTAGATCATTTTAATAATAATGAACTAAGCAACATACAGAAAGTAATAATACGTTTATCTACAGATAATTTACTGATGACATTTTCTTTTTAAATAAAGAAAATGAACAAGGTCTCTCTGTGTCAGATTGAAAACAACAACATAATTCATACTTAATTTAGATGAAAAGGATGATTATCACATGTTCATTTAATAAAAAGTAAAAAATGTAACTGACATTTACATGATATGAATCAAGAAATACACTTACAAACATCATTAAAGTAACTGTTTTTATGGATTAGCTGTTCATTTTATGCTAATGAAGTGTGACAACATGGACTGATGCATATATGCGTCTGGTTCTACGTTGTAGCTAACTAACTAACTTCTACTGAAATATCATCTAGTTTTTTTATGACCGAGAATTACAGTTCCAGGACTCAATAGCTGAGTAGAAAAAGCGATGGCGTTTGAAGTGAATGGTACTGAGTTCGAGCCCCAGAGTCGACATCAACTCGGAGATGCAGGTACAACCAGCCGACGAGTCCCAAATAGGACAAAACACACGGCCTGGATTCCACTGCTAGCCACTATCCATCTTTGCCCTCAAGTGTCCTGGTACGGCCGAGTGAGGAGAATCTGCTCTCCCTCCCCAAATGCTCTCACATGGCCACGTGCATACAATCACTGACAGGGAAGTCCTACTCACTGCATTCTCGCGGCATGACTGTCATTTATGAAATTTAAAGGACAAAAAGAGAATGTCCGGCGCTTTAACAGGGTTGGTGAACACGGAGAGTATACCTAGAGGACTTGGAAAACCCTGATTCCAAACCAATGCTCCACATAGGTTCCAGTATCCTGAAGGAATAAATGGTGTATAAATCAATCGTTGGTCACCGGCTACCATGGTACTGAATCTCCTTACGATGCTCCACTGACTTCTGGATGAGACCTTTAAGTTAAAGATCCCGGGTGTGTCCTCCTAAGAAAACCACTTGCTCCGGTTCAGGCACCCAGGAAGTGTCCCAGGCCTCATACAAATCAAATGAGATTTGTGTAGGGTATATGTATTTGGTGCCCCCTTGTACCAATATTTATGTGTTCAAATAAATAATTAATAAATCAATAAGAATTGCTGGATGCTACGTTTTACAAAACATAGGATAAACAACTGATATTGTTGTTTTGAATGCCTTTATTAATGGATGTTTTCAGCAACTTCAGCAGCATTTAAACTAAGTATAAATTCACTTCTCAAATTTTTTTTGAAATGTTCATTCTGATTAATTTATCATTAAATCAATTCGTCCCTCTGATGAATTTGGATAGTGTTGGGATATTCAGAAAAATATCCCAAGAGATAGAGTAATAAGAAGACGTAGATCATCAAGTCATCTGATAATCTAAATCTTCTTATTATACTATCCAAATTTATAATTAGCTATTTGTACAGCTCATATTATCTTTGCAGGTTTTCATATTCCTATTAAAAGTTTACTTCCGCATGACGTAGAAGTTACGTTGTCTATAAGTATGTTGTAAACTTCATCATTGTATTATCCAGTTCAGAGAATAGAAAAAGGATCGAAAGCATCCATTTAACTTTAACGTTCTCTCCATCATTATTCAAACTAACTATTATTTATGTCTATACGTTGTTTAATATCAACAACGACAAGAACCTTACTTCTTATTAAGTTTCTGTAAGTAGGTGTGCAATCATCAAGAGCAAAGAAATTTATACATAAGTAAGCACAAATATTGGTACAAGAGGGCAGCAAATAGATATGTGCCACATAAATCTTTCGATTTGTGTGAAGGCTGATATACTACCCGGGTGCCCAAACCGAAGGAGAAGCAAAGAAGTAAATATAGAATAAATACTTACCAATAATAATTTATGTTGTTCATCATTATTTTCAATACTTTTATTAGTATTATTATTCAATGAAAATTCATTAGTTATTAAATGAGAATTAGAATTTAAATTAGCATATTCACGTCTTAATATAGATAATTCACAACGTAATGCAATGGTAGTTTCAGCTTCTTGTGCTCGAATCAATTGACATTTAACTAAACGATCAGCCATTACTCCACTTTCCTATAGTAAGATTTAAGTAAAATGATAATAGTTAAGAAAAATATGGTAATGAAAAGAGAAAAAGCTGTTTTAAACAAAATTGAAATGTAATTTACGTGTGAAACAATTTAGTTCCTCAGTCAGTCAATCAGCTACAACGTAGGACTAGACACATACATGCACCAATCCAAGTTGCCATACCTCATTAGCACAACAAGATGAACATCAAATTCATAGAAGTAGTTAATTCAATCGTGGTGATATATAAAAGAAAGATTGCATATAAGGATATAATACATGAAGAAAGAATTAGTTGTTAGAAAGAAAGATACATAGCAATTTTAATATCACGGTTTGAGGGAAGACAGAGTGTATAAACCTACACCATTGTGATCAATTCTCAGCCATGTCACACACAGTCTCTAACCATTGGTTATGATAGTCACGCGGACACCAATCAAGTAGTCTGCATCTGCCAACAAGGCTTAGACTAGAAGTTGGTGACTTTAAGCACTGATTCCACGTTTTAGTTTCGCCACCCCTAACTTTCTTCCAACCATCCACAACACTAATCAGCATTGCACGTTGTGGTAATCGGTGTTCAGCCATACGTAACACATGGCCCAACCACCTTTGTCGATGAAGATTCACAACCTAACCAATTGATTTAACACCATTCGCTAATACTTTGTGTCTAACCTCACTATTACTTATTCGGTGATCACTTCCCTATAAAATCGGTAAGGATAAGATATATAACTGAACCTATGGCTATTACATCAATTTGCCTATAATAAGTGTTATGAAAGAGGCATCACGCTACTGTCAGTACAAGGAAAAGTTTTCGACAGTGTTGCTGAACCGAATAAAACACGCAGTAGACGCCCAACTTCGAGATCAACAGGCTGAATTCCGTAAGGATCGGTCGTGCACAGACCAAATTGCGACAATACGGATCATCGTCGCACAATCAGTTGAATGGAACTCGTCACTATATATCAACCTCATTGACTATGAAAAGGCATTTGACAGTGTGGGTAGTAGAACATTATGGAAACTTCTTCGACACTATGGAGTTCCTGAGAAGACTGTCAACATTATCCGGAAAAGAGAAGATAATATATTCTTTTGATGTGAATCCCGTATATCTTTAAACAGACTATTGATATTTTATATGACTATGTATCTTTGAATAACCTTGCATTACATTTTCCTTTAAAAATTCCTAAACATTTCTTACTATAATGCACTAACAAAGTCTAGCTCATATCTGCAGGTGAATATTTCCGTTAGATCGACAGGGTTGATATGGGTAGTCCGTTAGGACCATTATTGGCACGTGCTGAAAACTTGGCTGTAGACCTAATCGAAAACATGTCTCTTTATAAGGGATATGAGGATGACATCTTACCTATCTGCAGAATAAAGGAGGATATGAATTGCTCATTAAATGAACTTAATGCTTATCAAAATCTCATCATCAACTGATTTATCATCATTCCCAAATACCCTGCATCTAACATCACTACTACTTACCCGATAATCCCAGCAGATGTGAACAATATTTCTAAGGCATCTGTGGTCAAATACTATCAACAATAAATTATATATTATTCTAGATTGAATATATCATGCATTGTTTCATTTATCATACTTCTATATTGGTAAATCGAACATAGTGATAATTGTTCACTAATAAACTCAAATAAATAAATTTGTTTATCTTTCACACAAGACAAAATCTGTTAAACTATATCTTATTTATAAAATATAAAATGTATGTGAAAGATTTAGAAAGCATGTGAACTAATTAAGCAAAGATGGATAGTGGCTAGCAGTGGAATCCAGGACGGGCGTTTCATCCTATTTGGGACTCGTCAGCTGGATGTACCTGATCAATTGCAGTCCTAAATAACAATGGGAAGATACAAGTAAAACACCACCATGTGAACTAATCAATAAATTAACTCAATTTATCTTCTATAATGATTGTTGTTATTATTTTGAGTAAACATGAATGCATTGAAGAGTACCCATAATATGTAGATAGGAAAAATAGATTGAAAAACTTGAACAAAAAATAGCGATGATAAACAAGTTAAGACTTCGCATATCATCAATCGAAAACATGCAGATCGGCATATGAATAACATGAATAAATGATATATGTAAATATATATATATATATATATATATATATATATCCATACATAATTAAGTAAATTCAAGAGTTCTACTGTATAGACCTGAAATTTGGAGAATTACCATAACCATCATCAATCAAGTACGAATATTTATAAACAATTGTCTACGCAAAATATACTAGATCCGTTGACTGGATACTATCAGAAACAATCTGTTGCTGAAGAAGGAATTAGGAAAAGACGTTGGAAGTGGATAAGACATATATTACAGAAATCACCAAACTGTATCACGAAGCAAGCGCTGACATGGAAACCTGAAGAGAAACTTGAAAGAGGAAGAACAAAGAACACACTGCGTTGTGAATAGGAAGTGAACATGAACAGGATGAATAGAAACTTGAAACGACCGGAAAGGATTGCCCAGAACACATAGAATGCTGATGGGCAGGTTATGCTCCACCATGAGTGTTAACAGGCGTAAGTAAGGAATTACAAACTTATCTACGTATTAAATACAACATTAGTTATGATTTAGAAATGTATCATGAGCTCATTTTTATGCAAATTATCTCGATTTGGTCAATTAAAAAAATCAAAACTCGCGCATACATACATACATAATAATGATAGCTTAAATAAACACTATAATAAATTAATCTCACCTCTTCTAAACGGGCTAAACGTTGTAATAATAATCCATTTTCAGTACGAAGACGCTAAAAGTTAAATGAAGAAAGAAAAAGAAAAGAAAAATATATAACACTTTCAACTAAGGCACATTTAGAAAAGTTAACACAGTTTACTTGAAGGTTTCAATAACCTTCAGTTAGTGATTGGTAAAATCTATAAATAAATCAAGATTTTCTGATGACTTGAATTTAATATCGAATATTAAAATATATTGCAAAACAGTGATTAACAAGAAAAAAAAACTTATAAAGCAGAACCTTCAAAGTGAATTTGATGTTCTGGATTCTACCCATAACAGAAGTGTTTCCAATATGACGTTTCATTCATCTTAGCTTTACGTTCAAAGACACTGAGAAGAATGACAGAAATGCATTAATTTTTTATCAAACTTTCCATACATTAGGCAATGTATCATTCATACACAGATATATATAAATATATATTGAACTAATTCACCAGGTTACTTACTTACTCACGCCTGGTACTCCTAATGAAGCATAGGCCGCCGACCAGCATTCTCCAACCCATTCCGTCCTAAGCCTTCCTTTCTAGTTCTATCCAATTGTAATTCATTCTTCTCATATCTGTCTCCATTTCTCAGCATAATGTGTTCTTTGGTCTTCCTCTTTTCTTTTATTTAGCCTTGAGGATTACATGTGAGGGCTTGCCTTGTGACACAGTTGGGTGCTATCCCCAATGTATGTCTTATCCACTCCCAACACTTCTTCCTGATTACTTCCTCCACTGGGATCTGGTTTATTCCCTCTCACAGTTGGTTGTTGCTAATAGTGTCCAGCCAACGGATCCGAAGTATTCTGCGTAGACAACTGTTAATAAATACTTATATCTTGTGGATGATTGATGGCTTTCGTAGTTCTCCAGGTTTCCGCCCCATACAGTGGAACTGTTTTGAATTTGTATTGAAAATCCTGACCTTAGTGTCGATTGACAGATAGTTGTTTTGAGTTCCAGATGTTCTTCAGTTGTAAATATGCTGCTCTTGCTTTTCCGATTCGCGCCTTCACATCTGCATCCGATTCACCATGTTCATCAATGATGCTGTCCAATTATGAAAAGGTGTTTACATCTTCCAAATCTTCTCCATCAATTGTGATTGGATTGGTGCATGCTGTGTTGTATCGGAGAATCTGGCTTTTCCATTTGTGTATATTGAGACCTACTGCTGTTGAGGCTGCTGCTACACTGGTCGTCTTATCCTGCATTTGTTGTTGCGTTTGAGATAGGAAAGCCAGATCATCTGCGAAGTCTAGATCATCCAACTCCATCCCAGTTGCCAGTGGCGATCCTGCTGTAATCTTCTTTTACTTCATAAAAAATGTGGTTGTAACTTCCTTAACTGAAGGAATTCTTCTGGTTGTACCTTTCGGTTTCCCATATTATTATTATTATTACACTACCTTATACTGATCTGTGGTCGCTATTGTTCCCTTTTTTTCTTATACGCTCCTTATCTTCTTTTCTCTCATCCCATTCTCATTGTTTTGTGTGGCGCATATATATTGGGTGCCCCCTTGCACCAATATTTATGTGTTCAAATAAATAAATAGATAAAAACAGTTGAGGTCATAAGACATTTAGTTAGACATTAACACCGTTAGATGCCGTCCGGCTCAGTGGCTTAATGGCTAAGCGCTAACACGCGAAACTGGTAGGTCCTGGGCTCGAATCTCGCAAGGTGGAATCGTGGATGCGCACTGCTGAGGAGCCCCACAGTGGGACGAAACGACTATCCAGTGCTTCCATGTTTTTCATGGTGCGCTAGCTTCAATTGACTTATGATCTCAACTATTAAAATTAGAAATTGTTCTATTATTATTGATAACTTAATACATATTTTTTACTATGTTACATAATTAGTTGATGGAAGTCGTTGAGATATCCTGAACTTAATTTCATAGCTAGTTGACACGAAACATACCTACAATATTGAAGGAAATGATGCTTCCCGTGGAAGTTGAACTTGAAATAACTTAACTGTTTTTCAGTCTGTAACATTACCAGTGGGCTATTCGAAGATCAATTAAAATGTTTACACAGATTGATCATTGATTAGCAAGCAATATCATACTAGGACGAAACGGCCGTACAGTGCTTCCAGGTTTTCCATGGTGTTCTAGCTTCAACTGACTCATGATTTCAATCTGTGAAATATCATATTTACTTAATTCGTCAGTGTTGATCGAATTTTATCGATCATATCTTTGTTGTTCCGAGCTGTACGGACAAAACATTCTTACCGATTTGATTATACACCCAAAGATTTACATATATATTTATATGGAATACTCACACGTAATTCAATTTGTTCTTCTCGTTCTTGACTACGCATTGTCATGTATTCTTTCGCTAATCTATAATTATAAATGGACAAATTACTTAGTTAATATTATGAGGAAAACAAACAGAACAAATGAAGAATAATCGAATAAGAGGTAGATTTTTATAACAATAAAACATATGATAGTATTTAATGAATAAGATTATTATATATTTTGTATGCAGATTGATTGATTTAGAGTTTATATAATAATTGTAGCCTAATATGATTAATAGACTGGTTAATATAACTTGAAATCAATCGCTATAACGTAGATACATTTACATTTTCTATAATTAAACATTTTGAAATTATGTTGGTGAGACTAGAATTTATGGAAGAATCAATCAGGTATAAGATAACAGGTCTCGGATTTTGGCACGAAAGTCACTCATCTATTTGGTTGAATAGAGTTTTGGCATTATAGTTGATATCAGTTAGTGATGAAAACTCTAAATCGATTTCCTAACCCTGACTATCAACTGTAAATCATAATGCTTGTTTATAACCATAATTTGATCCTAGTTATTAGGTGGATATTCTAAAGGTCACCTTAGTGTCGCTCAGAGATCGTCCATAAATTATAGTCACATCATCATGTTATACAATTGATTCTTTGAATTCGTTATCTCTTCGTAAATCGGTTAATATATATGTATGTGTATATATCAAGTGATTTTTTTATTATCAATGATAATTTATTATTGTTACTATTCTATCATCCTCAATGAGTGATTTATGATCTCACTCAAAACTCAACAATCTCCACAACCTTATACTGATAATTATCATGTGCTCACTAGTGACCAGCTTCGAAAGGTAGATTTCGAAGTTCTAGCGAGAAGCCATGACCAGTGAAGGTAAGTACTTGTAGAAGCACGTAAATAGGAAGAGTTGAAAAGAGAGCATTAACAACGTTTGCGGAACGAATTCTTCGTAAACAAGAAAAGTATTAAACATCAATTGCCAAAGTTACTTTTCTACACTTAGTGAATAATTATTCACGTCAAGAAACTATTCTTAAACCGTCAAGTAAAATAACCGAACGGAAAATACATAAAAATTTATGTATGGTACAAGGAAAAATATACTAGAACCTGGAAAGAAAACGTGTAAAATATAACGATTGTTTCATCATACGGAACTTACTTTTTCATCTTTTTTGTATTCAATTTAAGCGAACAAGCATTTTCAAATATAGTATTCGAATGTTTATCCCACGCTAATGGTCCTTCATGTTGAAGGAACTGGAAAATAAAAACATATACATAGAAAATAATTTAGTGCGATCCAAATAATTGCCTGTTACTTGAAGAAAAAAGCTTGGAAAAACAATAAACAAAACATTTGTAGAATAGATAGATTTTGAACTAGCCCCCAAATGTCCTGGTACGGCCGAGAGTGGGGAGAGTCCGCTCTCCCTCTCGAAATGCTCTCACATGGCCACGCATATATAGCCTGTGCTAGGGAAGTTCTACTCACTGCCTTCTCGTGGCATTACTGTTGTTTACGAAAATGAGAGGACGAAAAGCTAATGTCCGGCGCTTTAACCAGATTCCAAACCAATGGTGCGCATGGGCTCCAGTATCCTGCAGGAACAAATGGCGTACGAACCAATCGTTGGTCACCGGCTACCATGGGACTGCATCTCCTGACAATGCTCCACTGCCTTGTGGATCAGACCTTTAGGTTAAAGGCTCAGGGTGTGGCCCACTAAGTAAACCACCTGCTTCGGTTTGGGCACCCGGGTAGTATCACAGCCCTAACACATATCGAATGAGATTTGTGTGGTGCATATGTATTTGGTGCCACTTTGTACCAATATCTATGTGTTGAAATAAATAAATAATAAAAAAGTAGTAGAATCCAAGACGTATGTTTGGTCCTATTCGGGATTTTTTGACCAGATATACCGACCAATCCTGGAGTTGATATTGATATCAAGATATGAAACCAGTAGCTTACACTACAAGTACCAGGGTGTTATGTCTGGTACTATGTCAGTTTATTTATTTGAACACATAAATATTAGTTCAAGGGGGCACCGAATACATATGCACCGCACAAGTCGCTTTATTTGTGTGAGGGTTGGGATACTGTCCAGGTGCCCAAACCGAAGCAGGTGGTTTTCTTAAGGGGACATATCAGGAGCCTTCAACTTAAAGGTCTCATCCACGAGGCAGTGGACCAACGTAAGGAGATGCACTACCATGGTAGCCGGTGACCAACGACTGGTTCGTACGCCATTTGTTCACTCAGGATAGTGGAGCCTATGTGCACCATTGGTTTGGAATCACGGTTCTCCAACTTCTCTAGGTGGACTGTCCATATCCACCTACCCGGTTAAAGCGCCGGACATTCACTTTTTGTCCTCTCAATTTCGTAAACAATAGTAGTGCCGTGAGGCAGTGAGTAGGCCTTCCCTGACAGTGGCTGTATACGCGTGACCATATGAAAGCATTTTGAGAAGAAAAGCTGACTCTCCCCACTCTCGGTCATATTGGGGCATTTGGGGACGAGCTCACATGAGTTATTCTAGTTCCCAGACAAACAGACGTATTCATTTATTTTATGTCGTACTTGGATCTTGTCAACTATAGGCTTATTAGCCTTGACGTTTTTCATATGAGCGTGCGTGTACATCGCTTAGCCTTAGCGGTGCTTAAAACAACTTTCAGCTACTAATTTGCTGATTTATTAGCTTTTGTATGGACACTATCTTGTACAAATAAACTGAGTCATGAAGCTGAGCAGACTAATATGTACTAGGTAAACAACGTTAATAGACGAAAAATACCGAAAAAAACTTACTGCAACCATTGACTCCATATCACATCTTAACAAATTGTCAGCAGAAAATTTCAATATTGATAAAGCCAATTTAAATATGAATTGAAGGCCCTGAAATATTTAATGCAAAAAGAAATAACGAATGATAAATAATGAGACTATAATGTTCCTAACTGAGATCTGTCAATCAAAGAACCAATTTTTTTAAGTATTATTTAAGTTAGTGTTTTCGGTGGCGAACATTGAGATAGAAATGTTGAAGTTAATTGTAAGGTACTCGGTAAAGATGGCAAATTGGTTGAAACTGTATCAGTTGAGATAGCTGATATATATGTTATGTACAGCCAGGAATAGGTGGGCAGAAAGATAGAGGTGGTATTAGTCTAGTTGTCACTGAGTACTGAACTGAGCTTTATCGGTAGTTGTACATTACTTGATTAAGGTCTGTATGGTTAACATGCCCAATGGCTGAAAACGTTTAGTGAAATAGGTTATTATCAATCGCAATAGCTTAGTTCCAGCTACTCATTGTCAACCCTTAGATCCTCCTGAGTATTAAGACTATTTCGGACATCTTACTTCGCTAATATATTCTTGCCTATTGATTCACATTCGCTCAGATCACTATCATCACTGGGACTATTACTACTCTGATATTCATGTTGTTAGTTCCAACTTGTTGTGTTAGTGCAAATATGACAATTAGAATTAATGCACATATTTTTGCAAGTTCTAAGTAGCTTGTAGATTCAATTATGTTTTTGTGTTAATTATTATGCATTGAATAGTTGAATTCAATAGTTGTATGGCTAATGTTCAGTTTGAGTAATATCACAGACTGAATATGACACTTTTGAGCATTTATTCACTGTAAGCTTGTATATTGTTAAAGAAAAATAATCAACTTAGATAAATTCAAGATCAAAGGGATAATAAAACTGGGAAAAAAATACTTTCATTGACTGAATACTTCAGTATGTAAATTTTATTCAGATTATAAGCAATAAGATTAGCAATCAAAGTCAATCAGTCAGTCAGCTACAACGTAGGACAAGGCATATATGTGCATCGGTTCAAGTTGCCATACCTCATTAGCACAACAAGATGAACACCGAATTCATAGAAGTAGTTAATTCAGTGGTGTTAATATATAAAAGTAAATTTAATAAACATTGCTCTACATAATCGTTAATCAGCGGTGTATTTAGATAGAGAAAAATTAAACATAGATTGAAACTTCTGATTAACTGTAAGTCAGTTATATGGATAATTCATTAGTCATTATTTTGATGTACTATGGTGGCTAAAGTTTAGAAAAAAAATATGGATGACCAAAATAAAACATGGCACTTGACTATCAGGGTTACTGACTGTTGTTGATCTGAGGCAAGTGAAAAAGTATAGATTACTTAAATTATTCAGTGTTGCTATATATCAAATGTGGAATATGACTGCAGAAAAATTGAAGAAGTTTCTTACACCTAATTTTCTATATATTCCACGTTTCAAATTTTGTTATCATTGATTTTGATGAACTCCTTTGATGTCTGTGCTACTAAAAAGTGTGACGACATTCAATGATTGATTGTAACGATAATATGGATTTGAATACATTGAAAATACTGTACAAAACTGTTCGAACATCATTAAGTAACTGAATGACACAATGAATTGAATTCATCAATAACACACAGAAGAAAAAGAAATCAATCTAAATAATTCAGTTTATGCAATGGTGGAGATTTGTAGCTCAAGTGGATTATTTGGGAGTTTCGTTTTTTGAACTGAATTGTTGGGTCATGAAGCTTTTGCTGTTCTTCTGAAGTTTGTGTTGATGAAGTCGTTCAGAAGAATGATGGGAGCTTCATGACCAAACCATCCAGCACTCAGAGAACAGAACTCCATCAAAATTCAGTTTATTAATCATATGATATTTAGGAGTATACGGAATAACATATTGTTATATAGGAGGTGGTCAGTGTATGATATGATGTCGTGTTATGAAAGGTTGCAAAGGGCTGGCTTCTGTTGGTCCTTCACAACCCACTGGTTGGGGTCCGAGAGATGGTGCAACACAGTGGCTAGAAACGTTATCAGATATAGCTCAGAATATGAATCAGTGGCGATCCTGCTGTAACCTTCTTTTACTTCCTTCATAAAAAAGTGGTTGTAACTTCCTTAACTGAAAGAATTCCTTCTGGTTGTACCTTTCCGTTCCCCCTCCTATTATTACTATACTACCATACATTAATCTGTGGTTGTTATTGTTCTCTTTTTCCCTTTTCTTCTCTCCTATACACACCTTACATTCTTTTTCTCTTCCCATTCTCATTACTGTTGTGTGGCGCATATACATCTGGTGCCCCTTGTACCAATATTTGTGTTCAAATAAATAAAAAAAATAGTGTTATATAGTGTTCTTCATCAAATGAATCGTGTAATTAATGATGAAAAAGAATTTAATTCAATGCTCCTCTTTTTATCCAGAAAATTTGAATACAAATTATAAAGTTATAGAGACACTAATTATAAATGGATAGAGAGTGTTGATGGGCAGCCTATGCTCCTCCACAAGGAGTAATTATAAATACTATGAGTATTGCATAGATTATATTAAAAGGTATAATGACTATCTTTACATTGAAACATTCTACAGAATAAAACAAGAATTAAGTAAGTACACGTGAATCTTAACTAAAAAATGATGTTGTGAAAGATTGTTAAAGTAACAACACCTTATAATAGAGAATAAACATTATAACAAAAAAGGGAACTATTTACATGAAACATCTATGAAATAAACAGTAAAGAGATTTTGACATTAAACTATTATAGTTAGTTTAGTTTCTCAAACTTCCGCAATTGATCATGTGAATTAATCACAGATCTGGTTAAACTAAAAGCAAAACAGAAGAAAAACGCATCAAAATACGACCAGTTTGAATTGTTGTTACTATAAAATGAAACAGTTCATACATAAAATAAATCAGAATTTTTAAGAGAAGAATAATCTACTTTAGTGGAGAGAGTGAAAAAACGGTAACGTTGTGGGTATTATATCATAACACTGATCATAGTGACTTTTAAACCATTTTCTAAACTTCTACTATCAATCAACAATGTTTGAAAACCGAATGAAATCAGAAAGTGACAATAAGATTAATGGTGTTTTTCAGTATTAGTTTCAGTGTAGATCTCAAGGAATAAAATCCGACAATCTTAAAAACTTTAATTTTAATAGTTGAGAACATGAGTCGATTGAAGTTAGACCACCATGGAAAACCTGAAAGTACTGGACAGCCGTTTCGTCCTAGTATGAGACTCCTCAGCAGTAGGCATCCACCATTCCACCTCGCGAGATTCGAACCAAGGACCTGCCAGTCCTACAGTAGGACGAAACGGCCGTCCAGTGCTTCCAGGTTTTCCATGATGGTCTAGCTTTAATTGACTCATGATATCAACCATTGAAATTACTAAAATATCCACAAAACCTCTTCTGATATTAATGTTAACAACCCTATGCCGATAATTATTATACGCTACAAAAGGAGGTTTCCAGAGTTCTATTGAGAATGTATTATCAATGATAGTGATTGAAATCTTGAAAAACACGATTCTGAGATAATCTCAGCATAAAAGAATACTGAAACTAAAAATCTAGAGGAAGGTAAATGAGCAATTGAATCAGTGTCACTAAGGCCAACATCTATCATCGTCGATCGCGGACCTCAACCAGATAATCCTCATTCAATCGACAACACTGTCTTTACCGTATTTTACTTTAGATAGATGTTGTTCATCGTTCCCTGATTTTCTCGCGTTGTTATTAGTTTATTTTTGCAACATAGTAATAATGATAAAACCTTACAAAACAAAAATATTTCATACATGGGTAAAATCATACAAGATTGTTAATTCGCAATCCATTCAGAATTCTAAATCAGAATAGGAAAGTCCTTCCCATAAACCCATAAACATTGGTACTAATTAAATTATAAGAATGATCAAGTATTTGCCAATATTTATGAAAAGAAAAGAAATATATGTTTTGTTTGGTTCCGAATAACTTAAAATATTATAACACATTTCTCAATACACTAAAAGTATAAAAAGACTACTTCAATGGATAAATAACTATAGGTCAAGAATGGGGTATGAAACATGAAGATATAGATGGCACAGATAATGATCAATAGACCGATAGGATATATGTTAAGAATAGATTATTTGAAGTCAATTTATTACGTACAATGTTAACAATTCAACTAATGTGCCGATCTAAGCTACACAACCATTGAAAACGTAGAAGCTATGGACGGCTGTTTCGTCCCAACACGGGACTCCTCAGCAGTACGCGTCCACGGTCTCGCACGTAGGAGTTTGGCACCTGTGACATAAATCAAAGGATTGTATATATGTATACCTTTAGATTTCATTGAAATCCTCTATTTATATCGTACTTACTTACGACTTTTAACCCTCGTGAACAAACATGGGCCGCCCATCAGCATTCTCCATCTAACTCTGTCCTGGTAAGTCCTTTCCAGTTGCTAACCATCCTTTTCATGTTGGCTTCCAATTCCCGACGCAGTGTGTTCTTCGACCTTCCTCTTTCCCATTTTCCTTCAGGATTCCAAGTTAGCGCTTGCTTCGTGATCCAGTATGGTGATTTATGTAATTTATATTTTATCCACCAACTCCATCGTGTTTTCCTAATTCTCTATTCAGTCGGAAGCTGATTTGTTATCTCCCACAGTAGGCTGTTGCTGATGTTATCCGGTCAACAGATCTAGTGAATTTTGCGTAGACAACTGTTTATAAATATTCGTACTTTTTTGATGATGGTTTTGGTAGTTCTCAAAGCTTCAACTCCGTACGGTAGGACTGTTTTGACGTTTGTATTGAACATTCTGATATTGACTGACATTTATTTTGAGTTCTAAATGTTCTTCAATTGTAGGGATGTTGAACCTTCTTTGCCAATCTTTACCTTTACGTCTGAATCAAATCCTTGTTATTCATCGATGATGCTAATTGACTAAAAGTTGGATGATTTTCATATTAAACCACCTCTAGTGTTGTAAATATCAGTTGACATTTAAAAGAAATGAAATCAGATTTCTACCGAGACTATCTTGTCTACAATGTCAGTATTTAAAATTTTCTCCAGCTTATCACAATCATCTGTCATACACATATCGTACATATATCGTTCATATTGTGAAGACCTATTATTACTCTATTCTAACTAATAACCTACTTATAACCAAAGTAAGTAAGTAAGTAAGTAAGTAAGTAAGTAAGTAAGTAAGTAAGTAAGTAAGCCAAAGGATCTACTATCTGGATATTTATAGTAATTTTAATCGACTACCATCTATCATCATTAGATTACGCTTTCTTAACTATTCAAAGAAGGAAGAAAAAAAAAGACCAAGATTGACTATCATCAATTAGAATTACAAAACTATTTATAACCCAAGATATCATTAAAGTTTTTAATTATTGCATGGAATTTTAAAAGAGCAAAATGGTTCAGTCAATTATCTAACTATTTTGGTTAATTACAACATACAAGTCAATCAATCAGAAGTTAGTGAGTTATTAATAATTCTTGGCGTAAAGATTAAGTAATTAGTATTATATTTATAATATAGTATAATATTAATAATATTTCTTCCATTATTGAATGATAGACTTGTTATTAAGAAAAGAAACATTAAAAAATGAAAGAAAAAACAACACAAAGAGTTGACTACTAATTGATGAACATCGGATTCATAGAAGCAGTTACTTCAATGGTAGTAATATATAAAAGATTGTATATAAGGATATAGTACAGGAAGAAAGAAGGAAAGATATAAAGCTATTTTAATCTCATATTTTAAGGGAAGACAGAGAGTGTATACACTTTATCCATGTCACTCAAAGTCTAACTTCACTATTACTTACCCGATGATCCCTTCCCTATAAAATCAGTAAGGATAAGATATAATGCTGAACCTATGGCTATTACATCAATTTGCCTATAATTAGTGTTATGAAAGAGGCATCACATTGTTGTAAGTACCAGGAAATTTTTTCAACAGTGTCGCTGAACCGAATGAAAGACGCAATAGACACTACGGATCATTGTCGAGCAATCAGTTGAATGGAATTCGTCACTATATATTAACTTGATTGACTATATTATAGGCGGCCTGCTTGAGCATCTGGGCTACCTGCTCCTGCCATCTAGATATTTCAACAAGTTATCTATTGTTGTTTGTTTTAATATATCATTATGTTTATTAGTCGCATAACCTATTCTGCTGCGTTTCTGAAAAGTGTACAACCTTTCGTTGTCAAAGTTACAAAAAGCCCAATAAGAGATAATGTGGTCGCTGGCAAAATGCAGAGAAAAGAATATACATTATTCAGATGTTCATTTACTGGACTGCTAACATCTAACTAGCGATCACTCAATATTTATCGTCAGGATCGACCAAGAAGTAAGAAACGGAAACTTGTTGAAATACTTTGTGCTGAGAATTATATATTGTACCAAAAATATAATATTGAATAAAGCTTATAATAATAATAATAATAATAATAATAATAATAATAATAATAATAATAATAGTAATAATAATAATAATAATAATGAGAAGGCATTTGACAGTGTGGATAGAACATTATGGAAACTTTTTCGACACTATGGAGTTCCTGAGAAGACTGTCAACATTATCCGGAAAAGGGAAGATAATATATTCTTTTGAAGTGAATCCCGTGTACCTTTAAAAATACTGTTGATATTTTATATTACTATATATTACTATATGTGTCGCTCAATTTCATGGATTACTTGAAGTTAGACATTAACAGCGTTGGATACCGGCTCAGTGGTCTAGTGGTTAAGTGCTCGCGCGCGCGAGACCAGTAGGTCCTAGGTTCAAATCCCACGAGGCGGGGTCATGGGTGCGCACTGCTGAGGAGTCCCACAATAGGACGAGACGGCCGTCTAGTGCTTCCAGGTTTCGCAAGGTGGTCTAGCTTCAATTGACTCATGATCTCAACAACTGAAATTATTGTATATCTTTGAATAACCTTGCATTAACTTTTCCTTTAAAAATTCTTAAACATTTGTTACTATAATGCACTAACAGAGTCTAGCTCATATCTGAAGGTGAATATTTCCGTTAGATCGACAGGGTTGATATGGGTAGTCCGTTAGGACCGTTATTAGCACGTGTTGAAAACTTTATTGAAGACCTAATCGAAAACATGTCTCTTTATAATGCATGTAGGATGATGTCTCAGCTATCTGCGGAAGAAAAGAGGATATGAATTGTTCATTGAATAAGCTTAAAGCTTTTCAAATCCACATAAGTCTTTAATGTGAAGAGGAGAAAAAAGACCAGTTTCTTTTCATAGACATACTTACAAGTAGAACAGATGGTTCAGTCAAACGACCCATTTTTAGAAAGCCAACTTGGACAGGTAAGTACCCTAGTTATAATAGTTATTGCTCAATTCATTACAAACGGGCCTTGATAAGGGGACTATTTAACAGAATTGATCGTATTTGCAAAAATGACACTACTGATAAGGAAGTAATGTTGTTTTACATGAGACCACATTGTTCGGAATGTATTGCGCTAATATATCACATAGTTTTGATAATCTTTGTTTTAATCTAATTTTATCACCAAAAGAGTTACTGTTATTACGTCATTTCAACACGCAACATTCTATTTGTAAATAGTCAGTCTATTTCATGAACCTAACACGGACACAATAAATACAAAGATAATTACATGTTTATAAAAACAATATTATGTAATAGGGCACATAAATACATAGTTAACTTTAAGTTACATTCTAATGATGAATAGTTGTAACTGATATAAGGTAATACAATTTTACAATGAGTGAAATTCTACACTCATATAATTTAGTAAGTCAACAACAGAGTACATACATATACATACATTTTACAATTAAATCGAAAATAATACTAATAACTTGGAATAAAACAGTAAAAGATATTCAGATCTAGTTCACTCAGAAATAAACCTAGAGTTCGTATAGGATAAGTAGAATGTATTGAAGGCATTCATTAAGAAGTTTAGTACCTGACCTTTGGGCTAGTTGATGCCCTTTAATAAGATGTATCAGTAACATCTAGAAAACTGATTTACCCTATGAGATTTAAACTCGAACCAACCAGTATCATAGTCAGAAATATCACGACTGAGCTGCTTGGGTCGCGACTGTCCACTTGTAGGAAAGATCATAGAGCAGTAATCAATGTAACATTAGTCTAATTTTTCGAACTGGTCAAATTCTATCGATCAGGTTACAGTGAAGCCATTGCTGTATGTAACTCAAAACCTAATTTAATACCTTCTCTGTGACTGCCTCCAAAATTATGTAACGTTAAACAACATGCATAAAACTCTCCAATAATTAACATTAGTATTGCTCCATTGCGCATCTACCAATAGAATTCAATCGACACTTAAAAGCAATCTTGTAGATTCAGGAAGAGGATCAAAGTCCCCGATGAACAACTGGAAGATATTCAAAAAACGCGGCCCTTTGGGGAACAACGTTTTATATGTTGGCTCGATACATTCAAGGCCTCACCACCCACAACCGGAATCTATGGGGTAATGTAAAATGTGCTATTTCTGGTGTTGACTTTTTCTACCCCTCATTTTTGTTTTGGGAAGAAAACATCGATTCAGACGCTCCTTGTCTGACGGAAACACCAAATTGCCGTCACACCCATATACAGTCAACAGCATGACTTCTTCATATGACCTCAAGTTCTGGCGTTTGGTCTTAACATTACTGAACCGACCTGGTTGGAATGCTAGGATCTAAAGAAACAAATATTTAAGCCAGGTATAGATCGGCTGGGTTACCCAAGACTGAAAGTCAATTTGAGGTAGTAATTACGGTCGGAAATGCAAATCATGTACAATAAGGAAGTTTATTTAAGAAAATAAAAGCATACCTCAACAATATAAAAATCCATAACACGTGTAGCACATGGTATAGGTAGAATAGTAGAGAACAATGTCAAAAACCATGCTGATGCATATAAACTTGGTGCAAATGATTGTGTACGAAAATGCGTATACAATTCGGGTAAATTATCAGCAATTAATTGTTCTAACTGGTACATACAAACGCCAAGTTCCATCATAGATGGTTTATACATTTCACGAAGTCGATAATCATTCATTAATTGAACAAGTACAGCGAATGCATTAAGTTCAGGCATCTGAAGTATCAAACAAAAGAAAGTCAAACAATGAATAGTCATGTTTCTACAAACAAAATTGGAAAGTAAAATGGAAAACTATTACTAGGTTGCGTCAATCAACTACATATGATGTGGTATAAATATGTAACAGTCTAAATCGCTAAACTTTCCATCAGGACATTAAACGGAAATTGATTTGATGAAAACCGAAGAAACTAAATTACATGTATCAATGGCAATAAAATGAAACATGGAGAAGAAAGATGAAACACAATACAATCCACATTCGTGGAATTGTAACTGATTTTAAAGCCAATTGCCTAAATAATGATTATAATTTGTACTTCATGATACATTTCATAAAACTGGTCAAACAGTTCATGAGCTGAAATGATGTTATGATTTAACAACCTGAATTTGCTATTAACTTACTCTAACATTAGTCAAAAATAATGTGTAAGTTGGACAGTGACAAGGTTTATAAGTAACACATGTTCCAGACAACTTAACCAACTAAGTTTCAAGTTCTCATCAACCCGTTTATTATATATTCCTAATACCTTATGCTGCATAACAGCTTTATTATTTCGGTAATCTTATAGCCACAGATTAATATTAATATCCAGTAGATTATCTCTTTATAAAGTTCGTCACAGATTGTGTTAGTTACATAAAACCAAGTAAGATTTCCGCATCATACCCCAGATCACAGCATATCTAATGTGAGCATAGAAACAAAGAAACCATGACAAAAAACGGAAGCTAGTTTTGGGGCCATTATTTCCCTTAATTCAATACTAACATTTAGCTTTGACCCTGGTTATTTCTATAAACCGTAAACTTTCGTTTGATGGATGATTCATTGTCAAACTCTTTTCTATTCCAAAGTAATTGTAATTTAAACATGATGTTTTTACTTCATTTTTCCACCCTAATGGTTAGTTTGGACATAATTGTATTTTCCCGATTGTTTGTGCGTTGTGGTCTTGTTATTCAACTATTTATTCATGCATCTTTTTACATTAATTCGAATCAGGGATCAATCAAGTAGTGTTCCAGTTGACTCGTCTAGTATGGTGTTCAATTATATATTAGGCAATAAGTCTGTTTACTTTCGATAATGTAATAAGAAGACGATGATTATCAGAACTATGTGATGATATATTAGCGCAATACATTTCGAACAATCTAATCACACATATACTTGTTAAGAACGTTTATATATAAAAATAAAAGGTCAACTAGACTGGAAATGGGGTAAGAGGAGACAAGGATGATAATAATAATAATAAGAGTAGTAATAATGATGTGGAAACAATTTGAAATCTAATCACTTTGGATAATAAGCCAAGATCACTAGGGTAGGTTTAAGGTGAGAACAAACTGTTTTTGAATACACAAAGGGAGTTTGAATTTTTGTATTATCAAAGAAAGAGCAAAGTGCATGCTTCATCCAAAACCTAAAAGACATGAAAACGATTGTGTCACATTCCACTGTGTTTACCAATTTAAATGTGTGTGTGGTCACACATACATAGGGAGAAGCAACAGTGATCTGATAATCTTCGTCTTCTTATTACATTATCGAAATTTATCAAAGGGACTCATTACTTTAAATTTCTGTTTGTTTAGTTGAAAGTTAGGGACAAACAATGAATCAGTTTTTATTCTCCTACTTCAAACCATCTAATGAATGGATAGTCAGTTATAAATAACATTAACCTCAAAATAATAAACAAAACTAAACTGGTAAGATAATTGTTATTCAACATATAATAACTATTTATTTTACCTGCATTAATAATAATCCAACAATAAATGCTGAGCCTTGACAATAGCCCACTTCTGGGTCATGAATTGAATACGCTTTGATTACACGGAATAAGCTTTCTTGACCACAACCGTTCTGTGAAAAATATATATGTATGCAAAAAGAAATATAATTGTGAACAGAGACCCAAGGAAACCATGACAAACAATGGAAGCTATTTTAGGGAAAGTTATTCCACTTAATTCAAAGCTTGTAAAATATTAACATTTAGGTTTATTCCTGGTTATTTCTACATATAAAAGAATAGCATTCGAATAACATAATTAGCACATGATAGATAAATCAGCCTACCACACAGGACTTAAATCTGAAAGTGTATATTCACCTGTTGAAATTATTGAATTTCCAATAAAGGACTTAATTACTAACTATCCTGTTGATTTGAAGTTTTACATTTTAGCGCCGAATCTCCACACGAGAGTTATTCTTTATATTTACCGCTATAAAAGGCGATATTTCCTTATTGATCACTACCTCTTATGTGGTAGACTTTTGCTCTATCTGCAAGGCCATTGTGTATGTACTTGTACAAATATGTTAATTCCTTAAGTATGTTGTTTTAGGTTCCAACTAAATAAACTTTCCTTAAAAGATTATATTTCCGAGTGGAAAAAGTTAGAAGGAGAGAAACCGTTGTATCCAGGTATCGAAATGATACCAAGAGTTCTATCAGTCAGTCAGTAACAACGCAGAACTGCGTACGTACGTACATCAGTCCGAGTTGCCATACCATATTAGCACACAGATACAATTGTCCATTCAAATCCCATAGTGGTAGAGGTAGTAAGAGTATAAGCAGTAATAGGAAACATTACCCGACCGTTGTTGCTACCTTGACGTGGTGGTCGGTCTTGCCTATCGTGATGAAGCAACCGAGCTATACTGGCTGGAACAACCGTCCCTCAAGGTCCTACCATGTCAGACAGGTCGGTTGAAGAGCGGTAAGACTAAAAGCAACAAAACCAAGGTCCGAAGGAGAAGTCGTACTGCTGACTGTACAGAGGTGTGACAGCAGTAAGGTGTTTCCTTCAGACAACCAGCATGACAACGATGCTGCCTTCCCACAAGGAGGGGTGGGGTTAGAAAAGGACCCTAAAAATGCACACCTCGCCTTATCCCACGGATATCCGTCTCCGGCGGTAAGGTCTCAACAAGTACGGAGCTAACACAAAAATCACCCATAAAAAGGTCGTGTGTGACCGACCTCAAGCAGTTGTCCCTTGGGCACTGCAGTCACGCTCTCAGGTCACTAAGACCACCTCTAATCCAATTTCCTTTTCAGGTACCTCCAGAAGAACCCTTCCACGGTGTGGGTAACCGGGAAGTGATAACCGCCCTCATACTTCAAACAGCACTCAAGGAAACATTACGGTTTCAAGATGTTATTCAAGCAGTATAATACGGTGAAATAAATTTGGAAAGAGAAAAAAGAAAACGACATGAAGAATTTAGAAGATTAGAATTTGTGAGAACACGAAGAGTGGATGCACCTGAGCCATTGCAAACAATTTTGAGCCATGTCATTCAAGGTCTCTAACTATCGGTTGCTATCGTCTCGCAGATCCTAACCAGGTAGTCTACACCTACCAACAAGGCTCAGTCCACTTGATGGATTTGTGCCATGTTTTGGTCTGGCCGCCCCTAACTTTCTTTCAACCTACTCCCAAGAGTTCTATACTGACCAATAACTATCTACCAAGTTGAATCACAGTTTTAAGCGGATACTTTGGGAAACGTAAGATAGAATCTTGGCGTCGCTGTGATATTTTCAGCTTTAACAACTTATTGATCCCACTGAAAATTTAGGATACCTTATTAGCAATACAGCTGGAATTTTAGGTGATTGAATCTAATGAATAATTAATTTATAATGAAAAAACTGGCGATGACCAGCCAATAACGAAATCAATCAGAATTTTTAGGTTGTTGAGGATTAAAATCATTTTACCTAAAGGATCATAATCACTGAACAACTGCCTCATCTTCGTATTGAGACAGCCCAGTGGTACATACAAATGATCCTCCTCCAAGGATCAAATTTATAGTGTTTAAGTCTCTCTCACTAAAAGACCAACGAATTATATTTGCAAGTTCACTTCACTTATGATACACAATTCAAACTCACCAGTTACGTTTTCTTACTAGAAAACATCATGTATTTACATCGAAATCATTAAAGACTATTTCATAATTATTAAAATAGTACAGCCAATCGAAACTACAACGAAACAATTATCCATAGTACATTGTTAATAATTAGAGAGGTGAATATAATCCAATGTCAACACATAATTATTGATAAATATCAATAAAATTCAATATTGACACGACAAAATCTTTAATTAATTATGAAGAAATTGTAATAGTTAACTTTTTAATGATAATATTATCATTTATAAAGACAATGGAGGTTTGATGATTAGAAATGATGAAACAGTTGCTGATCAGTAATTTAAAGCCTTAAAACAGAATTCCAGTCAGTCAGTCAGTTAGTCAGCTACAACGTAGGACCAGGCATAGAATTATTCGAAAAAAATATAGAAATGGAGTGTATGCATGAATGTATTGTTAGCAAAAAATGTCTTAACAATAAACAAATAACCTATGATTAGGATTCTATAGAATGGATGTCAGCAAGAAAACAACGAAAATAAGATATCGCCAATGGTTAGACAAACGGAGGTAGAAACAGAAAAATGAAAAGTTGAAAGGAGTATACACATAAATGAACAGAAAACAATTCAATGAATGTGGGGAAAAAATGTAATATATCATCAATTGTTTTCAGTTGACAGGTTTTAACTTTGTTCTTTTTTTATTCAGTCAGTCAGTCATCTTCAACGTAGGACCAGGCACATATATGCATCGGTCCAAGTTGTCACACCTCATTAGCACAACAAGATGAACACCGAATTCATAGAAGTACTTACTTCAATCGTAGTAATTTATAAAAGACAGATTGTGTATAATGCAGGAAGAAAGAATTGGTTGGTAGAAAGAAAGGTAGAAAGTAACTTTAATCTCACGGTTTAAGAGAAGACAAAGAATGATGCTACGCTTTGGTTTAGTACACTGATACTAGTTATTTTAGAGGGAGAATTAAGCGATCGAATATGAATTTAGACTAAATTGTATTCCGATTTGTATGGTCATTCGTACTGCAATGAAAATTTAGACAGCCTATGTGGCAGACATGTACACACTGTAACAAGCCGCGCATTAAAATTTTATTTGTCTAAATCGTCACATTTTATGTGAAAACAGTGAGGATGTACTTCAATAAGAGGAAAAGCAGTAAAGAGGTGGCATAATAGCTAAAGGATTGAAATTCGGAACACAACGCCTCAGGTTCGAGGCCCACTTCGCCTACCTTAAATCGGGTAAGTGGATAGTGTCATTAGTCCTTACACACTGAGGGTTTGAATTATATATAAATACCTAGTGAATGAGTTAATCATATATATCTGTGCATGAATGATAAGTTACTTAATACATGAAAAGCTAGATTAAAAAAATGAATGCATTTCTGTCATTCTTCTCATTGAATTTAGACGAAAATGTAACATGAACAAAACATGGTTATATTGGAAACACCCCTGTCATGGGTAGAATCAAGAACTTTCAAATTCGAAGGAGACTTCTCGGACACTCATTGATGAAAAAGAATACTGTAATCTGAGGAAAGAGTTGTCCAGTGATTTCTAGTTTCCAACGGTTATGAACTACACTTTGTCAGTGACAAAAACTACCTTCAACTGATCTCTATAAAATACATAACCACAGACTGCTTTTGTCTAGCTTGATATATTTTATACTTGGAGTTCCTTCATTGGTATTTTTATAATTTGTTAGAAAGATACTTAGAAGTTCCAATGATCAGTTAACTTATCATATATCTACCTTAAATGCCAACGTTAAATTATAACAGAATTACTTGGGACATTGTGAATCTATTCAAATTTGCACGGTGGCTTAGTCAAATACGAAAATCATACATTAAATACATCAATTGTACAGCTTCTTTGCGTTTTCGTCTACATACTCCATTATTCCTCTAATTCTGTTGTTATTTTGATTCCTCTCCGATCTCTATTCTTATCTATTTGATTTTCTGCTGCCAGGTATTCCACTTCCGATTGCAGCTACACACTACTTATGTCTATCAGCATAAGTAGCATACACCACAATAGTACAATCATTGATACGATTAAAAAATTTAAACGTTCCCCCTTGCTTATAGCATATGACGTTAAGATGTTCACTAAACAAAATTCGTAAATTATAGAAATTAAATATATGATAAGCCAAATATAAGAAAAGTTTCACTCAGGTGACTAATTTTTAATACCTATGTAACTTCTTGCAGTGGAACCTAAACCAGTCGGCATGAAGTATCAGCGAAGAGAATTCAGGATTATTCGTGAGGACAAGATACGGGACCTACTCAAAACTAATTGAATACACATCATTTATGATCATTATCCACCGTAAAATTGTATCCCCTGGTGTTACTACATTCGTTGAGCTTAACATCATAAAGTCAACGTAGTCGCATCAAACAATAACTTGTTTCATTCTTAACGAAGTAGAAGTACCAACATAATGGCCAGATAAAGTTTAATGTAACATACAAAGAATTCAGCCAAACGAATCTACCATTAATTAAACTGTAACAAATTCGTTTAGATGAAAATAGATGAGAAAATTTGTCTTAATTAAGTAAAAAAATTTCCAGATGAATAGTTTAAAACAATGCGATCATGTAACAATATTGAAAAGACGATAACATAAAAAGTGAAGTAGAAGAAGAACATTAGACAAAATCGATAACATTCCGTAAGTATATTGTGTAAATTTAAGTGGGCTAAATATAAATGAAGCAAAACAAAGCTCAGCCTCATTATTTTTAATTGGCTAATTACAGGTCAATTAAGTTTCCATGTAATGTGAAATTTAATAGCAACAATAGAATGGCAGCATATGTTTTTCAAGGACATAAATTGTATAATTACAATGGAATGAAATGAGAAAATAGTTGGTATATACATTGAAAAAGAAAGGAAAAAGCAAACAGGAGTTGGAAGAACTATCTCTCATTTAACACTGAATTAATTATTGGATAGAGGTAGTTGTCAAGATATCCTAAACCTAAATTTCATACTTGTTCTCACTCGTCAGACAGGGTGTACCTGTAGTCTTGAGGGAAATAGTTGTTTTAGTTGGATTTGAAACCGTGTTCCATTCGTTGGACAGGACTGTTATCTGGGATAGTCTATTGAAGAAGGGTGTGCCTGAGAAGTTTATTAACATCCTAAAGGCCCTATATACAAACACCTCAGGCAGAGTGCGGGCATACAACCACCTCTCTCCATTGTTCCATTCGAGTAGTGGGGTTAGGCAGGGTTGCCCAATCTCACCATTTCTCTTCAACTTTGCCATCGATGACATTCTGGAAACAGCTCTAATGAATGTAAGTAATGGTGGTGTGGATCTGTTGCCTGGAGAAAGACTTCTCGACCCTGAGTATGCGGACGATATTGTCTTACTGTGCGATAATGCCCAAAGCATGCAATCCGCACTTAATCAGTTGGCAATCAGTGTCCGTAGGTATGGTATGTGCTTTGCACCTTCGAAGTGCAAAGTACTTCTACAAGACTGGCAGGATTCCAATCCTGTACTCACCCTGGATGGTGATCAGATAGACGTAGTCGAGAAGTTCGTGTATCTGGGTAGCTGCATAAGTGCTGGTGGAGGTGTGAGTGATGAGATCAATGCACGAATAGTGAAAGCCAGAGCGACTTATGCCAATCTGGGCCACCTTTGGCGCCTTCGTGGTGTTAGTCTGGCTGTAAAAGGTCGGATCTACAACGCGTCGGTGAGAGCAGTTCTACTCTATACTTGTGAAACCTGAGCTCTCCAAGTTGAAGATGTTAGACGACTCTGTGTTCGATCATCGCTGTCTCCGAAAGATTGCTGACATCCAGTGGCAACACCATATTAGTAATTCAGAGGTTCGGTATCGCGTGTTCGGGCACAGAGATGATAATGCAATTGGAGTCAGTATCTTGAAACATCGACTTCGGTGGCTTGAACATGTTCTACGAATGTCGTCCCATAGAATTGCACGTCGTGCATTATTTGCCGACTCTGGGACTGGTTGGAAGAAGCGGAGAGGTGGTCAGTGCATGACATGGTGTCGAGGTATGGAAGAAATCTGCAAAGGACTGGCTTCTGTTGGTCCTTCACAACCCACTGGTTGGGGTCCGAGAGATGGTGCTACACAGTGGCTAGAGAAGTTATCAGATATGGCTCAGAATAGAAGCCAGTGGCGATCCTGCTGTAACCTTCTCTTACTTTCTTCATAAAAAGTGGTTGTATCTTCCTTAACTGAAAGATTTCTTCTGATTGTACCTTTCCGTTCCCTCATTATTACTATTATAATTACCACACTACCTTACACTAATATGTTCGTCATTGTTCTTTTTTTCTCTTTGAATTCTCGTTGTTTTGTGTGGCGCATACATAATTGGTGCCCTCTTGTAATAATATTTATGTGTTCAAATAAATAATTGATTTTTGTTCCTATGTTTGTGCATAATTTTCCTGATTGGTTGATAAATTGGATCGATTTCTCCACCATCTCAAACGACTTCACAGTTGGGTGTCAACAAACAGTACGGGTGAAGTACATGTTATCTAGATGGGAAATTGTACTTCGCGGAGTGCCTTATGGTACAGTTTTGTGGACGGTGTTCTTCCTCCTGTATGTAAATGACCTTTCTAATCTCCTACCACCATCGGTTTATTTACATGCCAACGATGTCAAAACAATGGAGAGCGATAAAAAGTGAAGGTTATAGGTTACAGGTTTAAACTGAACTGGAGAAATTGTCTGAATGGTATACAATTTAGCAGTTGCCAATAAATGTTTCCAAGTGCATTATGATGCTTATTGGTCATTAAGGTACGGATACAGACGCACAATGACCCAGAAGTTGTCGTTAGTCAAGATTCGAAAACTACTGGACATTGTTTTATTCAATGCGTTAATGTATAAATCTCCTAAGTCAAACTTATTATACGAAGCCTAATGATGTTACTAGTCAGAGATACAGCGCACTTTAATTGCTGAAAGTGAACTATGTAAGTACATATCTAAAATATATTAGACAATTCCACAATATACCAACAAAATATTGAATTTAACGACGAAAATAACTCCTACATAAATAATGTGCAATGCTGAAATGGCTGAACCGGATAAAGGATGCAGTAGACGCCCAACTTTGAGATCAACAAGCTGGATTCCGTAAGAATCGATCGTACACAGACCAAATTGAAACACTACGGATCATCGTCGAACAATCAGTTGAGTGGAACTCGTCACTAGACATCAACTTCATTGATTATGAAAAGGCATTTAACAGTGTAGATAGGAGGACGTTATGGAGACTTATTCGACACTACGGAGTTCCTGAGAAGATTGTTAATATTATCCGGAACTCATACGACGGACTACAGTGCAAGGTCGTGCATGGAGGACAGCTGACAGATGCACTCCTAGTAAGGACCGGAGTCAGATAAGGCTGTTTACTTTCTCCCTTCCTCTTTCTTCTGGTGGTCGACTGGATTATGAAGACCTCGACATCTGAGGGAAAACACGGAATACAATGGACGGCTCAGAACCGTTTAAATTATTTGGACTTCGCATATGACCTAGTCCACCTATCGTATACACACTAACTAATGCAGATGAAGACAACTCGTGTAGCAGCAGCCTCTACATCAGTAGGCCTCAACATATACAAGGAGAAAACCAAGATCCGCAAGTGCAACACGGAGAACAGCAATCCAATCACCCTTGATGGCGAAACTCTGGAAGATGTAGAATCCTTCACATACCTGAGAAGCATCATCGACAAACAAGGGGGATCAGATGCAGACGTAAAGGCGAGGATCGGCAAATTAAGGGTCGCATTCCTACAATTGAACGAACATATGGAACTCAAAACAACTTTCAACCAATATCAAAGTCACAATCTTCAATACGAACGTCAAGGCAGTTCTACTGTATGGAGCTGAAACTTGGAGAACTACAACAACCATCATCAAGAAGATACAAGTATTTATAAATAGCTGTCTACGCAAGATACTCAACACCCATTGGCCGGATACCATCAGCAACAGCCTTTTATGGGAGAGAACAAACCAGCTTACAGCTGAAGAAGAAATTAGGAAAAGACGATGGCGATGGATAGGACATACATTACGCAAATTGTCAAACTGCATCACGAGGCAAGCCCTAACTTGGAATCCTGAAGGGAAACGGAAAAGAGGAAAGCCAAAGAACACATTACATCGGATAATAGAAGCAGATATGAACAGGATGAATAACAACTGGAAGGAGCTGGAAAGGATTGCTCAGGACAGAGTTGGATGGAGAATGTTGGTGAGCGGCCTATGCTCCTTGACGAGGAGTAACAGGCGTAAGTAAGTAAGTAATGCTGAAATGAAATAAATCACTTTCTTTTCAAATAAAGATATTTAAATTATAAGTGAAATAACTCACTTCATCTTTAAATAAATCATGTTTAGGAAATGTACGTGCAATATCACGTCGGATAGCTTTTTCAACCGGTGAATTAACTAACAAATAATTATGATAATGTTTTTTAACAGCTGAATCATAAGCTCCACAGTATAGTTGCCAAATTAATGGACGAAATTCATCAGGAACACCTTTTTTAATAAGATCCTAATAAAATAAATATTTTTTCAACACATTAACAATTTGATTAAAATTACGTAAACATGGATAACATATTAAAATATCATCTCAATAAGCGATAGACTTATTAAAATTTCAGGTTAGTTCACGTCGATGACTGATATCGTCATAATGAAGTATTTAAAAGGCGAAAGAGGATTAGGTAAATGTTTTCTTTGAGCTTAAGATATCTGAATAGCACACACTGGCGACAAGAGATCTGACAATCATGAGTTTAATCTTATATGGAATGAGAGTTATGAGTGAGCAAAAGTTGGAATCCTGAATGCAAAACGAAAAGAGGTAGACGAAACATGTTGCGCTGGGAATCAGAGGCAGACGTCAAAAGAGTAAATAGCACTTGGTAACAGCTGAGGAGAGCTCAGGACAAAGTTGGTCGGAGACCTATGCTCCACAGGTGTAAGTAAGTATATCCCCATTTTTTGACATTAGTATAGAAACGGTATTGTTGGACTGTGTTCCGTAATACAGTCACTAAATTTAGCACTCAACTTTAACCACAAGAACTACCGTAGAAACATCTGTTACAAACACCCAAGAAATGTCTGCCGCTTCTATAACCTAAAATACGTGAATATTCATGTACATTTCCTGGCTAAATATCTGCGGAACTGACTGAGTTAACAGACAGAAACATTGTCTCAGTCAGCGACCATATCACGTTGAAGACAAGCTCACATTCAGTCACCGAAAGCATGATGACTAAGTGGTTAAGGCAACTGACTTTCAACAACCAATTCTAAACCCTACTCCGTCTATCTCGGTTAGAGTGGTTACCGAGTCGTATCACTTTATACTTCAAAAAACAGTGTGACTGGGAGTTGAGTACATTAACCTATGAATAACCTAATGAATAATTTTAGGGGCAATTCTGACACAAAAATATCTAGTTACTTTAAAACTATTCATTCAGAACAATTATAATGACTCATCACAACGCATTAAAGATGACGGTGAATAAGAATTTGAAAACATCTTTCTTAGGAAAAAATGTTGTTTTTAACAACCTACAGAAACATAGGATTTCTTTTTCGAACATTGATCCCAATTATTTATTACGTAGTCCCACTGTTCACGAATAGAACTGCTAATTGGTGCTCCAGCAGTCCAACCAATCATTAAAGGAATCGAGACTCCAGAAGTGTTACTCGATTTCGACGACCCATGTGTTGCATGACCATTAAGCTGCAGCGAAGATGTTCCATTGCCTAATATAAGTGGACAAAACAAATACTATAATTTAAGTCACACCGTTTATATAGAGTAAATCAGAAAATACTTTAACTCAGAAAGAAATTACAGATTTGTAGACTAAGTTGATGTCCTCTACCTCCAACAAATACATATACATATACTTATGCCGCAGACACTATTATACAATTGAACCTGTAGTAACCTCACTGAACTTCCCTTGATTTTTTCAATTAGATGTTGCGTGTTAAGGAGCACCATCAAGATTACCAAAACTTGCCATTGTTGGTCTTTTGTATGTGATTGTGCCAGGTTTTCAAAACTCATGCCAGAATATCATATGTAATGGTAATATTCTAAGTGATGAAGGTTACCTAAAACTATTATATCTAGACAGCAACAATCAGTTCTAAAGTTGTGGATAACACACAATGTAACGGGAATAAAACGCTGGAAATTCCTTTACAGAATTTCACTGGACAGTATTGTCATTTATTTGTTTCTTTTCCCTATCTTGTATTTTAACCTTTATCCAGGTCTCGTTTTAACCATACTTTACATTCTTAAGTTTTCATTGTTGTGAACTTTATTTGATCTTAATTGAAGATTTACTTTTGATTGCTTAATTAACTGTTTCATTTTGCCGGACCATTGATAATAAGGTCGTGTTTGACTGAACTGAGGGTCACGGCGCGGTTCAGTGTGACTGTTAACCTTTGACTGCCAGCTTGGAAAGGTTACTGGAATCCTCGCAGATAGATATCTGATTCCATTTTTTTGAGAATATATTTACTGATTCTCAGGTATAGAACACCTATTTGCTGACTATTCCTTTTGTTGTTTAGGACGTTAGTTTATGTTAGAAAAAGTCTTCATTGTATAGCACAGGCTGCACCTTTTGATGCATTTTGTACTTTTGATGCAATGTGTTTTCTTCTTCAAATTAGAATCGCTAAAATTGAACACAGAATTTGTTTTGATATAATTTAATACGAATCACTCAAAAACGCTTCGTACGCTTAACATAAGAACGTAGTCTGGACTAATCGAATGAACTTTGGTTTGCTAGTTCTGCGTTCAAACTGAATATTGGTATTTCGGTCATTACACATAGTGAAAAACATAATGTTATAAAACCATAAAAACAATGAAGGTACATTATATTAAAACTTCTATGAATGATAGACATTTCGTATAATGACACTATTCTTTCTGTTAGGTTTAGTTTATTTTCTTGGCGGTTAATCTTCTGCTTTTGTAATAGCCGTTGACAACGTAGTTTACATGGTGTCAAGGTTTTAAGTCGGTAACTATTTCGAATGAAGTTTCAAGATATTACTGGTTAAGTATGTGATTGGCTTAAATCTTAAAATATCGAGAATCTCGTTTGAATTATATGAAATGTCTTCAACATTTAAACTAGGACAGTAAAAATTGGAATTTTAGGGAAACCATGAATTGTATATGAGAAACGCTGATGTAAACCTTTAAAGAGGAAGTGAAAGCCAGTTAACAATAGGGCAAATTTCAAACAAATGTGGTAGTTAAAACATGATGTGAAATGGAATAAACACTAGATTCTTCAGTAACGCTCTTACTTCGTGTATCATCCTGCCCAGATCCAGTGGAAATGCTACTTGATAAAGAACCTTCTCGTCGACGAGTATGTAAAGATGGAACGACTTTAGCATCTGAAAAAAGAGCTCTGAGGACTTAGAAACAATTATTGATCTTAAACTAATACCGATTTTTTTCCTCAAGTTTGGCTAGAAGTTCCAGTTCAGATTGTCTTTTGCACTCCATTATATTATTCGAAACACCTGATCAACATCTGTAAAAGGTTCGATATATTTGTCGACAGAATTTCAGTCGGTAACTCCAGTGAAATAAAGAATAATAGTAACTTTGAGTACTTGTAGAAGAGATCTTTCAATTGTACAGGCGTCTCAAACTTTGATCACTGAACACGATTGCAAGGAGTCAACGAAAAAAGAGTTAATTCTTCGATTCAGCCACTTGTCCATATCTTCGTGTCAAATTGTGCTTTATAAGAGAATAAAAAGAAGAACTCTGAGGATATTGAAAAAGTACACATAATTAGTTACATGGTAGAAATAAATGTTATAAACAAATTGTGTACGTTATGAGTGAAATCACAAGAAATACGTGACTGGCAGGAATGAAAAACTTAAGTGTGTTTAACTATTTTTTATCAAATGTTATTGTTATATCCTAGTGAAGATTAAATCACGAGTAACGTCTGAGACTTATTAATGAACTAATATTATTTATATATTCTCATGGTATAAATATTCGGTAACTAGATTATGTATATCTATATTCCCCTTGTTATAAGCCATATTTTGACCTATAACTTATTATTGTACGATTCACGGTTCTTAAACTATGTTCAGTTTATTAATACTGCCTCCCACGTTCACAGCCACTTTTTGGCTTTATTGTGTACAAATGTTATTTCCTATTTTATGGTGCGTTGCGGTCTGTTTGGTTGATATATAAACCCAGTATGTCTGAAATAAATGATTCGATTCGATTCGCATAGTGGAAGCTGGTAATGGTGTTCTAGACTCAAGTGGACGGGCTAGGCGGGCATAGGACCAATAAGGACGCTAGGCTGCTCATACCGGTCGAACGTCATTGGTTTGACACAGTACTAAGATTGTATAAGTCGTATTTTGATTGGTGGATAAATCACGTGGTAAAAAGCCGGACATAAAGTCATAACAGTTATTTTTTGAGATGTAATTACACTTTATCAGGAAAAAACCATTGACTGTTGAAGCAAATGGTCATTTGTGGGAGTTATTACATAGTAACAAGTTTTCTGGGATTTGATGTCGTCAAGTAGAACTAATTGCAGCCACATTCTGTAAGTGTCGTTCAAATTCCCTTTGGCGGATAAAACTTACGATAACTGGTATTTATAGAAATTTTTGTAATATCAGAAAGTCAATAGTCAAGCACGTAGATACAGTTGAGAGGAGAATCAACTCCATGACCAGACCAAGATGTCTCCGAATTCAAATAAATTGCTGTCCCAAATATCCTCGTAGTTAATAGTTAATCAGATGTACCTTTCGAAAATCCTTATGTTATTTCTATGATAGAGGATGAGAACTGTTACTTAAATGAGACTTATAAAGAACCAACTGTATATCGATTCTAGCTAGTAAGGTATGTATGAAAATGAATAGTGAAGAGCACTGGAAACTGCACTTTTTCATAGTGTACAACGAGAGAGAGGATTGGAAGTCGAGTACTCCGAGGAAAACCAGATATTTATTTTGGAAGACATATTAGATAAAAATTAGCCACATAAAAATGTTATTTAGTGACTTTGTAATTGGTCAAATTTTCATTTACCGTACTATGATCAAAAGATCAGCTTTCAATGAACTTAGATAAACCATCAAAATATCGTCAGTGGTTGACCAAGAAAGAGCATTTCTATAATTTTAAAGTTGATTTTTTTTATGAACAAATAGTTGTTAGAACATAGAGATCACTTTCTTTTTCTTGGACCGTAATTTCAACAATTTTTTTATTTTATCTAAAGACAGTGAAAGTTTACACGACAATAAACATGAGACAGCATAATCCCATGATTTTACAAATTTGTACAGGATTATTAATTTACGTAACATTCAGATAGCAAATAAAATCCGATCCAGTGCACCATATTCTTACAAACACAATCTTAAACACCGCAATTACTATGACAAAAGCTTGTTATTCACTCTACAGACACTTGAACAGGAAATCATGTCAGTTTACCGGGATCATCAGAAATCGTTAAACAATACAACACGAGTCGCGTAAATTGGTCTCAGTAACAAAGCATACGTTCATTTCACATAATTATAAAAACAGTTCTAACAAAAATACGTAGTAGCTAGCTTACATTGCACAGTGACACAACTTTCTTCAATTACCGATGATGTGGGGATAGATGAACTCCAAATGTTTTCACAACGAGTCCCACCGCGGTTCGGTAATGAGGTTCGCACCCTACTCCGTAAGAGGAAGAAGTGTGGGAGATTTAGGTTACTGGATACTGATGAGACAGAACATTAATATCGAAAAGCTCGAAATATTTGTGCCTCGATGCTCCTAAAGTCTAGATGATTGCATGAACAAAAACTTATCAAATAATCTACAGAATACCTTAAACGCTCATACTCGTACATAAACCAAACGGCCAAGAGAACATGCGATATCCAATCATTATGGGGAGACAGTAGTAATACTTCATTAGTGGAATACGATTATGATAAAGCTCGGGTATTCTCAAACTACCAAAAGAACTAGCGAATTTTATCCTACATCTCACAAGTACATGCTTTCACCTATCTATAATACAAGGTAGATTACAAAAACACTGGAGGAATGCAACAGTAAGGCCTGTCTTCAAAGTAGGTACGAGACAAATTTAAGAAATATCGACCCGTAAGCCAAAATAGAGTGGCTGCGAAAATGTTTGAAAAGATTGTGTAAAAACGAGTTTTTAAACATTAAGACGAAAACCAAATTCTTTCCAAGAATCAAAATAGCTTTTGAAAAGCTTAGTTACGTCTCACTAACTTGTTATTACCCCGTAAAACTTAATGCACTCTTAATGATCTAAAGTTACCTATAGATGTAGCCTAAATTGACCTCGGAAAGCCTCTTGAAAAACGCCTACAAAACTATATTCCATCTATGCCCATTGATATCGCGATTGGAGGCAACTTACTTGTGTATTTAAAGGACTTCATAGTTGGGTGTCAAAAAACAGTACAGGTGAGGCACACGTCTAGCCAGGGCCTCAGAGTACTGTTTTGAGGACAGTATTCTTCCTCCTGTGAGTAAATGGCCTTCCTAGTCTCCTACCACCATCGGTTTATTTACATGCCAACGATGTCAAAACAATGGAGAGCGATAAAAAGTGAAGGTTATAGGTTACAGGTTTAAACTGAACTGGAGAAATTGTCTGAATGGTATACAACTTGACAGTTGCCAATAAGTGTTTCCAAGTACATTTTGATGCCTATTGGTCACCAAGGTACGAACACATGAATGGTGAATAAGTGAGCTACCTGTTTTCCAGATGCACAATGACCCAGGTGTTGTCGTTAGTCAAGACTCGAAAACTACTGGATACTGATGTGCAATAGCCACCAAAGGCTTTGGAACCCTATGGTCAATACGTAGAGCCTTTAGTCATGTCGATGTTGAAACGTTTTCGACTCTGTATACAATGTTTATTGAACCTAAACTCAAGTACTGCATACAAGTGGCTTACCCCTACCTAAGAGGAGATATTGACCTTTTGGGATAGGTTCAAAGAGTCGTCGGTAGACTGGTCCCTGGAATCACTAAGCTGCCGTATGATGTTCGACTGGCTAGACTAAACCTATGTCCCTTGTTATATGGAAGAACAAGAGGTGACTTAATCCCATCGAATCATCAGCGAAGTCAGTCAGTCAGTAACAACGCAGAACTGCGTACGTACGTATATCAGTTCGAGTTGCTATACCACATTAGCACACAGATACAATTGTCCATTCAGATCGCATAGTGGTAGAGGTAGTAAGAGTATAAAGAGTAATCGGAAACTCTAGGGTTCGAAGATGTTATTCAAGGAATATAATCCAGTGAAATAAATTTGGAAAGGGAAAAAAGGGACACGAAGAATTCAGAAGATTAGAATTTGGGAGAACACAAAGAGTAGACGCACCTGAGCGATTGCAAATCATTTTAAGCCATGTCATTCAAGGTCTCTAACCACTGGTTGCTATCGTCTCGCGGATCCAAGCCAGGTAGTCCGCACCCACCAACATGGCTCAGTCCACTTGTCAGTGACTTGATGGATTTGTGCCATGTTTTGGTTTGGCCGCCCCTAACTTTCTTCCAACCTATTCCTGCGCCAGAAAACATCGCACGTCGGGACAGTCGGTGGTTGGGCATACGTGACACGTGTCCCAGCCATGTGTTACGTATGCCCAACCAATCATCAACGAATGGGACGCGTTACCTCACTACGTGATTGAAGCTTCATCTGTCGACGCTTTCGTAAGAAAGTTGGATCAACTGAGAGAACATTATTTCCAGGACTAACATAAACCACTCAGTATTCTGTCCTTTCCCAAACCTGAATATAAATTAAGGTAACGAGCCAAACAAATGACTAATAGTTAACAAAAATTGGGTGTTCTGATCATGTCAAGACAATATGATTTACAGCCACTAAAATAAAACATGACCCTTTGTTAACGCAGATTTTCTTCATACATGTGACTAGCTACTTGTTCCTAGTTCTGAAAAGCGAAACGTTGAACAGGGTGGATAAGTAGTAATGCGAAGTCTAAAACAGAGGTGAGACAACTAAAAACTTTGTAACACAGCAGCCCGCTTATGTCCTACTGATTATAGATAAGGCCAACAAAACAATTCAGTCTTCAGTAAGAAGAGTAGGAGGTATAGCGACTTTTAGTTTGTAGCTATGTGGAGATCTAATCTCATTTTGAATGTGTCGACAGAAAGTGCTGACATTACGTTTTCTGGTAGAGAACTTCAGTAATTCACTACTGGGTGCGAGAAGCGAAACTCCAGACGAAGACGATTTGATATCAGTATTTGATTTTCCTTCGAATCTCCTCTCTAATGATCAGTCCTACATGGAAGGAACCTTAGAACCACAGCCTTACTGGGCTGTTTTTAAGTGCTGACAACAATCGGTAAGTAGATCAGCGTTCAGGATATTTATAGGAAGGGTTTAATTAATCTCCTGATATTAGAATTGGGATATGATAAAGGTTATGAATTAACCCGTTCGTTATTAAAGTAGAATATTGGATAAATAGGGATGAATGAAGGAAAATATTTCAATGTGCTTACAGGCACACCCAAAACCATGTTCATGAAACCACGACCACTAAATACTTATCGGCAGTAACGCATTAGTTTGTAAAACGTGCTAATGAGACTAGGTAACTTGAATGTTTAATCACAGTTTCAGGATGCTGTTTGGCTTATCTTAGTCCTGAAAATAATGGTTTCTCAGTTGATTCAACTTTCTTACGAAAGCGTCGACAGATGAAGTTTCAATCACGTACTCAGGTAACGCGTCCCATTCGCTGATGATTCGATACGGGGTGATCTAATATTGGATTATCGTATACTGAACGATGACCTTGGTATTAACATGTCTTATCTTTCGCTCCCGTCTAGAACCGATCATTTGAGAGGACATTCGAAGAAAGTTTAAAAACCGAGATCAAACCGTTTACGTCTGGAGTTCCGTTTCTCGCACCGAGTAGTGAATTACTGGAATTCTCTACCGGAACACGTAATATCAGCACCGTCTGTTAATATATTCAAAACGAGATTGGACCTCCACAGTATTACAAACTGCAAGGATTAATATAGGTCGACAGACCTCCTACCCTTATTACTGAAGACTGAAGACTGATGGGATTAAGTCACCTCTTGTTCTTCCATATAACAAGGGACATACGTTTAGTCTAGCCAGTCGAACATCATACGGCAGCTTAGTGATTCCAGGGACCAGTCTACCGACGACTCTTTGAACCTATCCCAAAAGGTCAATATCTCCTCTTAGGTAGGGGTAAGCCACTTGTATGCAGTACTTGAGTTTAGGTTCAATAAACATTGTATACAGAGTCGAAAACGTTTCAACATCGACATGACTAAAGGCTCTACGTATTGACCATAGGGTTCCAAAGCCTTTGGTGGCTATTGCACATCAGTATCCAGTAGTTTTCGAGTCTTGACTAACGACAACACCTGGGTCATTGTGCATCTGGAAAACAGGTAGCTCACTTATTCACCATTCATGTGTTCGTACCTTGGTGACCAATAGGCATCAAAATGTACTTGGAAACACTTATTGGCAACTGTCAAGTTGTATACCATTCAGACAATTTCTCCAGTTCAGTTTAAACCTGTAACCTATAACCTTCACTTTTTATCGCTCTCCATTGTTTTGACATCGTTGGCATGTAAATAAACCGATGGTGGTAGGAGACTAGGAAGGCCATTTACTCACAGGAGGAAGAATACTGTCCTCAAAACAGTACTCTGAGGCCCTGGCTAGACATGTGCCTCACCTGTACTGTTTTTCGACACCCAACTGTGAAGTCCTGTAGTGGCATTCTGCTATGACCACACAATCCTCAAAGCTGAACACGAGACAACTGGCAAAGTAGATATTTAATACTTAACGCGAAGAAAAACTCAACGATGGTGAATGTTGGAAATAGGAGTTGAAATATTTCGCATTGATCGGTTTGCATGGCTCGGCCTTAAAGTCAATATTTATAGGCAGACAAAATAAACTACAAGCATGTGATGAGTCATGGGACATGAAGTGTACACACATATACGCTCATGTGAAAACAGTCAAGGCTAATAGGCGAATAATTAACAGGGTCAAACATGACTCAAGTAGAACGAATAGAATGAAATGTCTGGAAACTGGAATAAGATATATTATGGCTAAAACTAGTGACTAACACTACAATTTATTCCACTAGTTCGATGCACACGTCAGACACTGTCGACTGATGATTTGTGACTTTTGAATTAGTGAGTAATAAAATGAATCGATGTGATTTGTTTAATAACAGAAAATGAACAAATACGCTACATTCATCGAGTCATTTGATCGCTCAGAGAACGTCATTGAATGGCCAAATTACTTTGATTCAATTTGTGGGCTGTGCATTGTTGAGCACTGAAAATGGTCGTTGTCAAATCAGTTTTATTGCATACAAGGCCATATTCTATTCACAGTTGTTGATAGAGAATTGTAAGTGAAGTGTTTGCATACTGAAGAAGCCCAAATTTTGTTGTAATTGGGTAAAGCTCAGTCGCTGAGCGACAGACTGTCGCTAAACCATGAGATGCGATATTGATGGTTGTAAACAATGAAATCATAAACTTCATCGTATTGTAAAGTTTGTGGTTAAGCAGTCTTGCTGGAATCCCATTTGTTCGACAGGAACTTACATAGTATTCTTATCTATTAGGTCACGGATTCCTACAGGAAGAAAGGTTATGTATGCTTTATTTAATAACGGGTCGGACACAATCTTCCTATCAAATATCGTAGCAAAACAGGCGGGACTATCAGGAGAAGCGACTCAGTTAGAAATTTCCTTCATATCAGGTCTCGGTTCAGTGCATCTTTTTAAACAATATACTAATATATTCACTACGCATGAGAGCAAAGGGTATTTATCCCCAGTGATGTAAGCAGTTTAGGAAGAAAGGTATTTTATTCCATACCAAAATGATATGAATCTTAAATCCCAAAAGAAGTTCGTAAGGTGTTTGACTGTGCTGCTTAGTCAAAAGGTGTGTATACTAATGATTCCACATACACCTAGCCAGATCTTACAAATGATTTAGAGAATGGTTTTGCTCTGATTTAAATAACAAGGGTATATAACAGACAATTAAAAATTGTGCATTCGATTACATCTCACTGGATAGAATGAAAAAATATTCAACTTTATGTGTCACCTTGAGGGTAATATTAACTTGCAGTGACACTGTTTCCGAACCACAAGATCCTTAAAGCCAAGCATATAACTACTGAGATCTATATTGAACACGTAACACATAGAGAAGATCAAAAATGGTGAACTTGTAGAATTACGGTCTACTATGATATTAGTACTGCTCTAATAATAAACCTAATCCTAAACTTGTCGATTTGTCATGATATAACTGCCTAATCTATAAGATCTTACGTGGAAGTCACACCATCGACTACACCAACTCACTGTATCGTATCAATTACCAATACATGATGAGGAACAAGGTTAGGCTAGAGAAAGAACAATATATTTAATATGAATAGAAGATATAAAGTAACACTGAGATGGACCACGTCTGCATGGACGAGCCATGCCACTCGATCAACTCCAGTCCATTCAATTCCTTGTTCGCGCCTTCTCCATTGTTAGGTATTTCTCCGCGTTAAATATTGAATATCTATTTTCTGAGTAGTCTCGTGTTCACAGCTTTGTGGATTGTGTGGCTATTGTCCAATGCCACTACACTACTCTCCCACCAGAATCAACGTGATGTTGGTTCGATACCAAATTGGATGGGATCGTCGCGCGCCGGAGGTTACCAAGGATAATAAGAATCCTCCGGGTATTGGTAAACTGAAAGATAAATCAAAAAGAAAGCGGCAGCATCTGGTCGGGAAATACATGTAATAATTTTAAAATATCTGCCTTCATGCTTAGAACGCTTGAAATGAAAATTTGGTTGAAGATTATTTGAACTATAAAAAATGAGATTATAATAATAATAATAATAAAACGATGCGTGTTAATAACTTAACTTATAGGTGGTAATTATTTTGTGTTTAGAAATATTAAAATAATGAATATTGTAGAAATGTTAATATTGGTATTAGTTTTGGTTTAAATTATGAAATCAGATAACGATTATGCCGGTAAGTTGTCCATATGAGTTGAATTCCAATTGCATCTGTATTAGTAGGCTAACTGAAGGAACAAAAGTATACCGTGGAGAAGATTTCCAACTAGTGTTCCAGTTAGTTTGATACGGTTTATTTAGTTACGGGGAGATTTTCTCAACCTCATTTTTACTTGACCGTGATAGAATTTAGTAATACTACTAATACACATGAATGGTTATCAAAATAAAATTTAAATACATGAGTGATAATTATATGAATTTTGGACAGATAGCTAGGAACAAATTGTTAAACATGAGTGTATTCGTAAGAGACATGCTCTAGACTCAATGTTCTGATCTGTGGCTGACTATTTACTTGTATTTATACTTGCCGGCTGATTGGACATACAAGTTAGTTGCAAGTATGCAGTTTATCATAAGGCGGAACACGATTTAATTGAGATATAGTGGTTACAAGTTATTAAAATCAGTTAGACCTGTGTCATATTACGAAGTGATGTGGTGCTGCAAAATGTATTTAGCTAAATAAGTTTTTACAAGATGATTAACCGTGAGTGATGCTCATGTGATTATCAGGGAGTACATAAGTTGTAACCAAGGGGAGTACACTCCCAACTCATGTCTATGATAATGGCTTGAACCTTAGTCAGTGTTGGGGTAAATTCGACATTGATGTTTTCAGTTTGCAGGAGATTTGCTCGACTGCTTATACTGATTATTTGCATGCATGATTGTGTCGCTAAACCATCAATTAGACTGACAAGGTTTTGAGATATTTACTGAATGAGCAACTGATAGAGAAACATACTGTAATCATCTGTGATGGATGAAGATACCAAGAAAACAACACCATTTAATGGTAATTATAAGTCAATTTGCTGACCGATTTTGTTAATAGTTTCATTAATTTTATCAGTCATATTACGTGATTGTCAAGTTATGACAATGCTTTATGACGATATCCTGAAACTATTATGTTTAACTAGTTATAGTGTTGAATGAGGATTAGTCAGTGGAAAAATAGGTATTGTTGCTTTGCTTTAAGTGATTCGAAGTTATCAGAAATTTATAACGTTAAAGAATCCGAGACGCCTAATTTAATTATAAATTTCAATTCAGAAATATTCGTTTAGTGTTAATTCTAGTAGACTACGGAGTTTTGATTTTAAACGTTTGTTTAGCCAACAGCTACCTGAGGATTTAGTTATTTTACTAGTGCAGTTGATAGTACCTAAATTTTTAATCTTATTATCTAAACTATGTTCGCATTTTAGGCTGGTAATATGATAAACCAATTCATAAACCCAAATACGATTAGCAACAACGCTATGATGGGTTTACTGATAAATATTCAGGACGATTCAGATGATTCCTAAATTCAAAAGATATGAAGATATAGTGTAACGTATGTACGGGCCAGGTTAACATGCAGGATGTTGACGCATATAAAAATTTAAAAATAATGAACATGACCAGGAAAAG